AATGCTCCTAATTATTCATATTGATCGGAGCAACTAACGAATGTGATATAATGTGAGACATGAGATCTACGGGTGACTACAAGACAGGTGTTCTTAGTAGCATAGCCTAAAGCCTATAATGACATCTGAAATAAATCTAATTATATATGTATCACACTGAAAACAGTACCTATGTAACAATTCCAAACATTTCGTCGCCCTTGATGCGTGAAGAATCCGGAAAAATGTTAATCTGTTGGAGGCGGAAAAGGTACGACCTAATGGAATCCGTGTAGAACTTACCCAAGCGTTTTATTTTTCTACAGAAAACTTCGGTGTTTCTAGAAGATTTATTTAAACCTTTCTGTACGTTCAAATAAAAATTACTGAGTGTTCACAACAACCGTGAGTTGCATTCCGATAATATGGACAGAACCTAACCACAGCTGTTCTGGGCGTTCTAATGGTTTACATTACTTCCTTTTCCTCAAGCTCGCACTTAGGGCTATCCATAAATGATGTCAGATGCTTTTTCGGATTTTTACTCACTCTCTCCCCTTTCCCCTCCTCCCTCCCCCATTCCCTTTGCGAGATTCCTGTCAGTCACCTTTGGGCCCCGCCAAAAAAATTGCCGCAAGTTGAATCTTAGTAAACAGGAACGAAAAATACAGAGAAAAAACAGAGGTTTAAATCCGAAGTATTAAAAACAAGAACAACCGCCTTGAATATGAGAAGTAAAATCCCTGGTGGAAGTTTACCACTCCAAACGCATGCGGCGGGCACAGAGATGAATTCACCTCTCTCGTCCTGAGGTCGCAAAAGGTGGACAGTCAGTCCCTGCAGGCTGATTATTAAAAGTGATGGACAAAGAAGACAAAGGGAAAATGCAGTGATACTATTGATTGAATCAGGTGGCTATTATAAATTGGGGGAAAATATTGGACTAACTAAATACGGTCTCTTATGGGTTACCGATAGGTTGGTCAGCTTACACTTTTCCTCTTTCTGCACACAGTGCGAACCTACCTCATTAAAAGAAGGAGAATTCTACTTTGCAATAAAATTCCTCTCTAAGAAGGTATAAAATGTCCTCAAACATTAGGACAAAATAAATAAGAAAATTAATGTGGTGTTTAAATAATGCCGATCTAAAGATCTCATTCAAAAACCAATCTCATTTCTGCTTTTAGAAAAATGCAAAAAGCCAAGAATATTAATTCCACGGCATAAATATGTGGAGTATATTCACAAAAGGCACATGTCAATATTTTAATGACCTTGAGATGCATGTGCTCATATGAAATTCAGGACTCTCCGGAATTGACACGTACTCTAATGATCTAAGCTGAGCTGAAGTTTTAAATTCAAAAATTTTATGTAATTCTCAGATTATTCTACTTTTGAAGAGTGCTGGTCTACTAATGAATACATTTTTTTTATGACGACAACAAATCCATTTTCAAATGAGCTCTGAACTTCATATGAATACATACATTTCATGACACATCAGAAGTGTTGACTTGCTTCCCTTAATAAAAATATGGTTTTATAACAAATATGGTTTTATAGACAAAAACGATCTGATCATCAGTTTTACCAGGGTATAACTCTGACATCGTTTACAACCGACGCTACAAGGAACAAGTCTAAAAATTACATCTCAATTTTCAACATCGAGTGAAAGGGCAAGCTCATAACAAAGCAATCGTACTCTATAATGTAAACAAGAGTGGCGCATAACGCGTGTGGCGCGAAGCGCTTCAGGGGCTTGACTGCAAAGCGGTCAGGGGACATGCCCCTTAGTGTACTACAGAGTTTTTTTTTGAGGTAGATTTGTTTTATTCTTTATTGTTAGATCAACCATTTCCCTGGTAGCAATGAAATCGGAGGACCTATTCCGTAAAATTTTTCGTTTGAACAGTAGTAGATTCATTCCCTTAAAATTTTAATTTCAGAATTATTACTCTCTTCGGTAACAGGACGTATAGGAGGCTCCCGCTTCAGTAAAGCTTTTTATTTTTTACTGTAACGCAGTTGAAACTCTCGAAGCGAAATCTATAGTGGATTTTATGTTCTAGAATGAAACACCTTTCCGAGCGTAAGCTGTTGAACAACCCAAGTAATCAGAATAGTGAGCATAATCTGATCAGGCACGTGTATACTATTTTTTGGGATACGCTTTTTGCTCTTGCAGAGTAGTAATCACTATCGATGGGGTTGTTTGACAGCTAAAATACACTCCAAGGTGTAATACACAAACACCTCAGATTTTACTTTACAGCTTCTAGCAGTGCATATAACAAACACTAAATAATGTTAATCTCGTCTTAACGTCTGATATACAATGTGTGTGCGTGTTGATACCAGGAGCAGTCTCATTCATTTTCCGAAAAAGAATTGTTCAAATCACCAATTTCTCTGTTTCTAAGGACCGTAAGAACAACAAATCATAATTAAGTACCTACTTATTTTAGATTCTAATTTAAATAACTACGTTTGAACTATTTCAGTCACTATTTAGAGCTGGTTAGTCGCAATGAAAATAACAGAAACGACTGAGGCTATGAAGAGGGTGTTCGATTGTAAAGGAAAATGCTGAATGAAAAAAACTGCAATTTTTGCTGTTTTTCCAATGTTAGTATAAAATAATCGGCATAAATTTCCGCAAAAGCTTTAAAAAACGCCTTCAAGAATCAAGAATTCCCATAAACTTCCTTTACTTCATCTATCTCTCAGCATTACGAAAACCTCCACCATCCAAACAGTCTTTAAAGAATAAATTTACCTACCTAAACTCATAATGTAGCTAACAGGAAAATATGACAAAACTCTGTTTAACTTCTCGTAAATAGTATAAAAAATAATTGTGTAATGATTTCCTTATTGCCTGATAACAATGATAATAATAATTACTACGTGCAAACTCAACAAAAATCACGATTGAAACACTATAAATAAAACCTCTAACACAAGAAAATATTGTACTATAAGTGCAAATGTTTCATCTCTCAAAAAGCTCATTGCACGTAAAATGAATTTAAGGGTTTTTAGGAGTGGGTCAGGATCAAAATCAGAATTTAGAATCTATTAATTTTGATCCATTATCTTTCCTTGCCTAACACTTAAACAAGGCTACACAAATATTGGTTACCGAATCCGCTACAAATGAGGAAATGTTGAGACAGGAAATATAATCGTAATCTGAATCAACAAAAGTCTTTCATAGTAGACGATCCTGTATTCCGGTTTCCATATTTGTGGTTTGAAAATTGATTTTACTCCAATTTATACAGGATCCCTGTTACATTCATTCTCTCATTAGGATTTCCGGCATTTCTTAATTTCCTCAAACTCTTGGAAATTGAGAAGCCAGAGGCGTGGCGTGAATTGCGATGTATCGATTGTTATGCCATTTAAACCTATGCTAAAGAATCGATTATTAAGGTGTTCGCTGCGAACACCCTGTTTATCGATCCTTTTCCATAGGTTTTAAATGGCATAGCAATCGATATATCGCAAAGCACGCCACGCCACTGTGAGAAGCGTGAGAGCGGAAAACTTTTGAACTAATTACTTATTCTTATCAAAAGTAAACAAGCAAAAATCTAGTGGGTAGATATATTAAAATTTTGAGCACAAAAATTTTCTTTGTGAGGACATATGTAAAATTTTGCCAACTATTTTCCAGGCACAAATCTTTCCTTATCACAAAAGTCGGTTTTTGTTGAACACTGCTCAAATAGACTGAGTTTAGTAGGAATAAATCTAGTCTCACGATGAGGGGGGCTCCAGGTTTCCCCTTTATACGCAAAAACCCATATAAAAATGAACTCTGAGGTATTATTTCAAACATTTAATATTTCTCAAGGGCGTTGAAAGAGCCTCGCCAAAAAGTGGTGTTTTTTCGCCCCTTTTTTTATACCCGAGTTGGTCAACCGGACAATGCTCAAATGAAAGCCTATGGTAAGGCAAACTTCCATGCAAAGTTTCAACTTGAAGTGACCCCTGGTTTAGGCTGTACAGCGTTGCCAATTTTCCAGTTTCATGTGCTAAAATCAAGGATATTGGAATATCAGTCCGGTGCATAAGTAGGCTAGTACACCCAAGTTGGTCAACGGGCCAGGGCTCAAACGAAAGCTCATGGTAAGGCAAACTTCCAGGAAAAGATTCAACTTGAAGTGAAACCTCGTTTAGGCTGTACAGCGTTGCCAATTTTCCATTTTTATGCGCTAAACTCACGAAATACTGAATCGTCATGGTTCAACAGACTAGTATACCCGAGTCGGTCAACGAGACAAGGCTCAAACGAAAGCTTATGGTAAGGCAAACTTCTGGGAAAAGTTTCAACTTGAAGTGAAACCTCGGTTAGGCTGTACGCTCTCTCTACAGTCAAGCCAGTGCAAGATTGTCATCAAGACATGCAAGACTGGATTCACCAGAGTTCGTTTCGTAACTGTAATTCTAATTTTGAATATTTCTGGCTTTTGACTTCCCTTCGATATAGAGTGGACTCAGCACTATTCTACCACCTTCTCACAGTATTCGGAGCGTATTTTCATATTTTTTTGAAAATGCAACTTGATTCCTTTCTACTAAACTCAGTTTCAGTCTGATTAAGAGGTCGCTTGAGGAAGCTTGGCGACGAGCCTGAAAATTTCGGCCCTGGTCTGCACTGGTAAATATTGAGCAAATCAAAAGTCAATCACCGATCATAGAGCACATAGCGTCGTAATGAAAGTAAGAGAGCTAGCGCCCTTTTTAAGCATTTTTCAGGTCTCGCATTCTGAGACTCCTGTGTGACGCCGTGTCACTTTTTCGATACATGATCGATTGTTTACGATACAGGGGTCTCAGCCATCCGATCTGAATAAAGAAGATAGGAATGGAGAATTTGCACGCAAATTTTTTATTGCTTCATCTGAAAGTGCTTAAAGAGCTGATTTCACAGTATTTTTTATAATTCTTTTCTGATATGGGAAATGGTATAAAAATAGATTTAGAAGTGAGAAAATGCACCGTCTAGTGACATCATCTGGCGGTATTTCCTATTTAAACACATGTATTTTAGCAGATTAGATCATTTTGTCATATTTTCTCCAATAATTGTTCAATTCATGAATCAAAGTATCCTCGTGTCCAATTCACGCAGTAGTTTTCACTTAAACACGAAATTCATCAAATTTCAGACACCTGCAAATTCTCTATCACCACGCATTCCACGCGGCCGTTACAGATCGAACAAGTATCGAAAAAGTGACCCAAGCTCGGCACACACCGGGCTCAGAATTCGTCGACCTGAACATGGCGCCGTCTCTCCCATTCACATTACGACTCTATGCAGTCCATGTCACCGATTGGTGGAATATTAGGAATCGAGCTTTTCGACGATTGTAGAGCTAGCTAGGGTGCTCCGCCGCCAGGGGGTGGGCGATCCGCGGGGAGTGGCCGGGGCCGAGTTGATTCTGCTTACGCTTGGTCCGCACAGGGAGCCCATGGGCTTGGGGTGGCTCGAGTAGAGGGAGGGCACGGGAGAGGAGTCGATATCAGACACATCCAGGCGAGAACCAGCTCGCGATGCCGGCGCGCTGCCCGACCCGTAGAAACCCCCCATGCCCAGCTCCCGCTTGGAGCGACCCCCGAGGCTCGTCATGCTCCCCAGGTTCCCCAGGTGGTTCACCGCGCTGCTGCTTCGCGCCAGGCAGGCGTGCGACCCCACCGGCGTCGCTGGCAGCTTCCGCGGGGTCGTCCGTAGTGACGATTTCCGACTCCCACCACTCGACCTGTAACTGTACAACCAACACCATTAATCCCAGTCACACTATCCATAAATGGGTCAGTTACGCTGATCACAGAACACTGGAAAAAAAAAACACATTGGATCTAGAGTCCAGGCTCTTAAAAACATCGACAAAAAAAAAGTACTCTTGATTCAATCAGGTTCTAGCTTAAATCAAGAGCCAAGCCTCTTAATTTAAGCGGATTTCGTTTTGATTCAAGCAAAAATCCGATTGAATCAAGAGTATTTTTTCTTGTCAATGTTTTCAAGAGCCTGGACTCCAGATCCAATGTGTTTTTTTCCAGTGAATCGTGTTTCGATGCTTGATTCTTGTAGGCTAGCTAAAAGTGATAAGACCAGTAATAATAAGATCCGTCCAAACAACAACTTTCTACCTTCACTATTAACCGAGATATCACCCTTTGAAAAGTCGGGTTTTTGACGTCATCCACCTTGATCTCCTCCACCTTTATTTCGTCGGTCGGTGTGACGCACTTTTGCACTGACGATTTAACGTGAAACTCGGACGAAAGCAAGGTGGAAGAAACCAAGAGTGTCACTACCGCGATGGATGACGTCAAAAACCCGACTTTTCGTAGGGCGATAACTCACTTGATATTGAACGTAGAAAGTGTCCGTCTAGGATAGATTTAATCTAATAAGCTAGTTGGTTCAATTGCTGATAGCAAGTAAAATGAACATTACTTCAGAGACTTTGAACATTACTTGGATTGAAACAATCAAATCTCTGGGTTGAAAATTTTCAACGTCGTCGAGCCGCCAGGGACGAACCTGCGGCTCGATTTTTGAATCGTTATCAAATAACTTTGATCGAGAACTCTCTATCCTATCAATGCTACGTATCGATCAAAGTCATTCGATGACGATTCAACAATCGAAGCAAGTCTAATGCGCTAGCCACTCGAGAGTCTCAACCTCTGAGTGACAGCGAGAGAGACAAGAGTACCTTATAGTTTAGCTGGACATTTTCCTCATATCCAGATGTCTCAGAGTAACAAACGGCTTCAGTTGATTTGATAAAAAATGTGGTCGATCGACAAAGTTCTTTTGGTCGATCTGACCAAAAAAACAACACAAAGTTACCTAAAGTGACCATGAACACGGAAATTTTAACTGAATGGTTGACTGATATCATAGGCGGGTCTAGACACCTCAAACGGGAGGAGATTTTGGGGGCCTCCTCCAGAAAATTTTCGAATTTTTGAAGCATCTAAGATGCAATTTGAGTCGATTTCATCATTATTAATTACCAAATGAAAGCGTCTTTCCTTCTTCTTTAATACTGTTTCTTCCTTCTTTCTTCCTATCTTTTTCTTCCTCCTTTTTCTCAGGCGAACGGGGGGGGGGGGGGGAGGCGTACGCCTACGCCTTCCGTAGATCCGCCTATGACTGATATTTCATAGGAGAATGGGGATGACAAAAAACTCAAAATAGGTTTGCAAATATTAAATGAACGAGATTACCTCCTAGATGTAGCTCTGCATAGGCCAGTAGGACATATTTGACCTAGGGCGCAATCGCCCTCACAAAGAGAACGGGTGAGTAGAAGACCCTGATAAGAGACGAGCATTATTCGACATTGCTCCTCGTCTGTCACCACTAACGCCAAGCTAGGAAACCTTTCCTTCAGTCTCCTTCTCTCCTGGAAGCCGTAAAGTGTGTCAGTAAGTCGAAAGCACTGCCAAGAGCTTCAAGTGTAGGTATACTTTCAAAGCAAACCCCCTTATTGTGTTTTATTATAAAGAATAAGTTTCACACGTGTCTGCCGTATAACCGAGGAGGGTGGTGAAAACTAAATTTTCGAAATTAAGTTTCGTATAAACGTCGACTAATATAATTTTAATGAATTAACTCATCAGCTAGAACAGCAAAATTTACCCCCACATGCAAAATGAAGGGTTTTTTGGATAACAGCACACGTGAGTGCGCAAGAATTGGTGTTACTTCAGATCAAACAGCAGTGGGTCTACATTACTTTGCGAGAGAGCAGTCTTCGTAATTTTCTGCTGGTTAGTGCGGATTTCCACAAGTTCTGCCGATTTCTGACCTTAAAATTTGTGTTTTGTAGTCCGAAACATAACCATGCGAGCAAGAAGAGGAGAGCACATATTGCTGTCTTGCCCTAAATGAAATAATTAAGGCCTTTTTTCACAATCAAAATAATTCGGTCGATTTTTAACCATCCAAACAATTTCCAAAACTCTGTAGCATGACAACTTTACGGAGAATGGAGGATTCGTTAAATGAAATTTACTGCTCTGACGCCACTTTAAACCATTCTCTCAAACCTTGATGTCTTTGTAATGAAATTGAGGGCATGTGTTTCTTGACTCCATCACATGTTGTCGTTTATTTGACATTCCATGCATAAAAATTACTAAATATCACAGAGAATAAATGTTTACCTCTTGCAATTTAAAATATTCAAAATCCTGCAGCTGTTTCTGAAAGCCCACGTTAGGATTGGCAACCGATCTACCAACTCGGACAACTTTGAGTGCTTCTTTCCAATTTAAACTAGTAACACTCATTATATAGGCCACAGCTATTGTCACACTTCGAGACATTCCCGCCAAGCTGAAAGCAAATGTGATGATACGATAAAAATAGATGTTGAGGTATTTTCATCGAATGCTTATCACTTGAAAACAGTTCTCATTTTTGTTGAAAAGCTACATAATCTATAAAGGTCACCCGAATTTTGCGTTTCCCTTATTTTTCTCCTGTGAACTAAAAAAGATGAATCGAGTGGTTGAAACTGACTATTAAGCATAATATTACTATATTATTTACTGATTGCAATATTTATGTTTTCTTATAGTCACAAGATTATTTATTCCCTCGTGCTTAGGGGATGTATTTGTGGTATAAACGAATAATGTGGGGTGTTTTGTCTTTTTGGAACTTCGTAGTACTGTCACGCAGTCTTAGCGATGCGGGCAAAGCGCAGAGTGCCTGGGAAATCAAAACGCCTTCACTCCGCAGCGTATGCAACACGGACATCCATGAAGCCCGAATAGTTGCATCCGCGCCCAGGCGTTAGGATGGAATTCGTTTGGTGTTCGTCGCATGCACCACCATCTAAGGGCGCTTCGCTTGTTTCTCTTACTTCTTAACTTAATTCCGGCTTTGCCTTTTGAACCGACGATGAACTATTACTGAGCTTTATGGCGATATTGTCAATTATCCAAGGAATGCATTGATTGTATTGCAACTTTGCCAGTCTTCAAAATCGAAAAAATAATTAGGTAACTATCTGAACATGATTTGTAGAGTTTTATTTTCTTCTCCAACGAGTCGTCCTTTGTTCGGATTTTTTTGTTTTTTGTTTTATTTCATTTAGAAATATAATTTTGAAAAATATCTATATATTCGGGGGGGGGAGGTTGAAAAATAAATGAAGTAAAACTGGGATTATGATTGATGTTTTATGTTTTTCTTTCTTCCTATTTACTGTACTTTTCATCTCCCAAGCATAATGTGCTTGTATTGTGTAATTCCATTTAAAAGATTTTCATGTTCATTTTTCCGGCTCAAATATTCTACGAAGTGCTTTCTGATTGACGTCTTGCTGGCGAGTCAAACGCTATACATTTATTAGTTTTCTGAGATTCAGATGAACTCAGCGCCTGCAAAATTATCATGTCGGGAGATCATAAACTACAGGAGTGTACAGGAGCTGAACTGAGTGAGGTAATAAGTTTTATCACTTTACGGTCTTTTCCCTGTGCTCTTAATAATTCTTCTGCTACACTGATGGTGAAGTGTTTTTTTACAAGACTATCCTTTTCACTCTCTGCATGATTTTTACCTCAAAAGTCCATCTCCGTGATCCTTTCGTTCCCACCGTCAAGCAAATAAAATATGAAAACTGAAATCAGTACCGTTAAAATCGATTATAAGTAAGTATTCATTTAAAATATGCGCTAAAACTTACCAATGTATGAGGACGTTACCCCCTCTTAACCTGGCAGCATGAATGAAATCGTTACACAATGAAAAGTATTGCGATAAATTCTGATCTGGTGTATCAGAAGCTAAGACACAAAGGTAATGCTTATCCTGAAAACAAACAAAAAAAAGCACAGTTCAGATTAAAACGGGGAGTGTTTATAATCTCAATATACTAGTAGAGAGCATGTTTTCAATTGAATGGACTGCTAGGCACGGTAAGAAATTAAGCACTATGGCACATGTTAAATTTTACGCAGAACACATTGAGCCTATTGGAAACTTCCAAAATTAACTTCAAATGGAGAAGGAAATGTTTGTGGTTTCCATTGGAAGTAGTAAATCCAAATTTACGGCTCCGGAAAAACCCATGAACGATGTAGGCCAAATTAGAGTCCCTTTATACCTAGACTGCCGTGCTAAGGAGAAACGCCGTATGAGTCTTCAGGCGTTGCCAAATTTCTTCTGGCAAATCTCTAATTTTCAGGAAATTTTTTTAATGTTAATCTCGCAATTTCTCAGATAGTTTTGTTTGTAATTTGATATAAAAGTTCTGAAAATTTCAAGGGAAAATATTCATAATTTTCCACAAAAATAAACATTTTATCGAAGGAAATTTGGCAACTCTCGAATGTTCTTACGACGCTTAGCACGGCAGTAGAGTTGCGCCATCTCAGGTCTTGGTTGTCACAAACGGGCAAAAAGATTATACGATTAGTATGTAACGTTTGTTATGATAATAGGGAGTTATGCCCCCTGACCAATGTGCAAATGGAGAGTGTCGAGACTCACCCCAAAAGCGCACATGCCAAAAAAGGGGTAAAACCCTAAGAAGAACTTACGAATGATTTTCGTCGACGCCTTTCATAGGATTTTATGCGAGGAGCTTGATCCGAGCTTCCTTTCAATTTTTCGTTATTGATTCGTATTCTACAATTTCTTTTGTTCCGATGCGGTTACTCGTGCGGTCAACGGTAGGTTCGGCATAGAGCAATTACGAATTTTCAACGATTTAAGTGCGCATCGTTGCGAACGCGCAATGCGTGAAGCATTCCTCTAGTCTTGTGGGCGCTATGCGTTCCGCGCTGACCGCACTGTGTTGGGCGCACTGCGTGAAGTATTCTCACAGTCTTGCAGGCTCTAATATGCGTTCATGCCGGTCACGCTGCTGTGTTTAACGCGATTAGTTTAACCTACAGGGTCAGCGTTTTCAACTTGTTACTACTATTATGTTTTTGCACACTCCACATGGATTACTGTCATTTTAAATGATGAAAAAAATTACATTAGATCTTACGAATTTGTTTCTGTTTATTTACACCATGCCCGCACATCTCGTGTAGGTAACACTGGTAACATTGACAACTTTTTTTTTTGGTTTGTTTGTTTTTTTTGGGGGGCGTGAAAGCTTGTAGAATAAATTCATTGCGTTGGAAAGTGTCTTAGGTTGTTCATTTCTTCAGAGTCTTTGCACTGGAACACCGGTACCGGGTTCATAAACAATGAATTAATGACGTGGCATGCAAAGGAAGCCGGCCTGAAGTTCCCTGCATAAGCTCCTGGGTAAGGCGTTGACAAATCAAGTAAATGTTTCTTCTTAAGTTTTACTTTATTTCAGTATTTCCAACGCTCCGACTAGTTTAATTTTGAGGGACACTGGCGAATGTGCACGAAAATTTTTTATTTCTACATCTGAAAGTGCTTAAGGAGTTGCGTTCGCAGTATTTTTCATTATTTTTTCTAATATGGGAAATTAGAGAAAAAAAGATTTTAAAAAGAAAGAATCTTCCGCCTTGTGGCGTCATCAGACGGCATTTCCCGTTTGAACACATGTATTTTAGCAGAGTTCGTCATTTAGTCATATCTCCTCTAATAATTGTCCATTCTGGAGACTATAGGGTTGTTCACGTGATCAGTGCTTTCTTCCTATAAGGTACTTAAAATTTACACAATTTCAGACACCTGCAAAATCTCTATTGAACATTAGGCGACATGCTTGAATTTGCAAAGAAACTAAGCGAGTTGAAATTTTTAGATCTCTTTGAGAAATACTTACGGAATGCAGTTTTTTAGCCGCGTCGTGTATTGCGAGTATATGAGTTATCTTGAAACGATCTAGTTGAGCAGAATCTTTTGAGTCTCGGTAGTTCCCCACGTATAGACCGGGTAGAACCTGCCGAGAAAAAAAAAATGACTTTAGTGGTTGTAGAATTCGTTTATTTTTTAGAGGTATCTCAGCAACTTTGGCTTTTCACACCTCTGCAATTAGGGTACAAGTTGTGTTAATAAATGGGTGAATTGTTACAAAAATGATCAAATTTGAAAGCAAGACTGTAAAATTTAGAGATAGGAAGGAAGAAAGTATAAAAGAAAGTAGAGGTAGTAGTAAAGCACTTAATGAGGAGAAAAGTCCATCGCTGGATGTATAGATTGTAGCGTGGGATGAGGATGGGGGTACATTTTACGTTCAGCGGAGCGCATAAATTCGAAAAGTCTTGTAGGATGAGTACCTATTCAAAAGTAAGCGAGGGGAAGGGACAAGGGAAAAGGCATTCTTGTTTTCCTTCGTATGAAAGAATGTTGTTGATATGCCTGATTTTACTAGATTTTAGGAGATTTCTGTAGATCTAAAGCAAAGTTTGACACTTTTGCTAATTATTTTTATTATGAAACCACAAGAACATGCATAAACGCTTCGTCCAAAGGAAACATAGAACCAATTGGATTAAGTAAATTTTGAAATAGAAGCTACAAGTTTTGGCTCATTTCACACACAACGTGTGTGTCATTAGTTTGCCCATTTAGGTAGGTGCGTTTGTGGGCGAATCCAAATAAGTAGGTCCTATTTGAAAAATGTAGTTTAATCAATCCAAACACATTAAAATAGAACCAACCATATTTTTTAGTACCTACTGAGGGGAGGAGGTGGAGGGCTGAATTGAGATAGCTCAACTAGCCGTGCATATTTTCCTTTGTTCGTAATTTAATCATTCTTTGTCAAAACAACCTACAAGCTTAGCAATGCTGCTCAGATTGTGCGACTTTATATCTTACACAACTGAATAACGTAGAGATTCTACTATTTGAATACTACCAAATGAATTTTCATCCCAAATTTACACTTACCATATTTTTTTCTGATTTCATCATTAAAATTAGCAAAGTGTTCATAATTTAAAAACTTTCTACACGAAATTGTCTAATCCGAGCAACACTTCAAAGCTCATCCGTCGCTTCTGCGGATAAAATCTCAACATTTCCCTTGTAGCACAAATCATTAAAAATACTGGCAGTTATTAAAATGCTAGGTCCTAATATTTGCAATCGCAGAATTGTTATTTCCAACTTTCGCTGCAAAAAGGAATGTAAAGTGGAAATTTTGATCATAACTTTACGTAGATTGATTATCCTCTGTCGAGGTGGATTCAATCAAGCATGACAATACTTTTACTCGGATCATCTAATACTTTTACTTGAAGCATGCAAGGCTGGGGTGGAGACACAGTGGTACAGGGTCGTGGGACTCACCCGATTCATTCCATTTCCCATGACGGTGGGCGCGCGCGCGGGGAGCGAGACAAACTTGCGAGAAAGCGGTCACATTGCTACTGGAGGCACGGGATACGGCCCCGCGCGGCCGAGACTCAAGTGCAAACCCCGACCAGCGCAATCGATATGTTGTTGTTGCACTTCCTCCCCCTCCTCCACCCTTTCGCGCCCACCCCTCTAACCCTTGACCAAGGAAGAGTATCCCTTTCAATCTCTGATGAGAGACCCGTCAATTTCGATCTTACATTCTATGCCCAGGTAGCACAGGTTGCATCGAATCCCAATTTCATGCTAAAATTCTTGCTGTCGTATCGGCGTGTTATGCATGCTGTCTATTCACTAATTGAAGGAGCTCCTCTTATTAAAGTGCATTACAAAAGAGGATGCAAGTTTTTTTCACATTGCAAATCGCCTACCTTTCTCGCACATGAAATTTATTTTATTGGTCGTTTAAAATCGGCATTCTGATTTCATGATAAAAAAAAATGAAATTTTATTGCATTAAGAAATTGCAAAATTTTTCAAATATTTGTGCTACTCGGGTAGTAGACCGCTCAGAAAAACAAACAAAGCAAAACAAAAACAAAGGCATGACGCCAAGAGATTTCAATATATGCGCAGTAAACTGATACTTTTGACGTAGGTAGGGACCACGTAATCTATATAAATAAAATCGTTGGGGGTTTCACTGTAACGCTTATTTCTGGAGTTCTACCGGACCGATTTCGACGATGCTTGACTCTGGTTAAAGCCCTTGACGTCCCGATGTCCGCAAAATTTTCAGACTTCCAAATTTTTCAGCCTCTTTCGCTTAAGACGCTTTTAAAGCCAAATCCACCCCCCTCCGACCTTAAGTTTCCGAGAGTTGCGGTATGTTTCCGTTGTAACGCCTAATTTGAGAGATCTACCGGGGCGATTTTTACGATTTTTGGGTCGACCGCAAGCTCCTAGCTTCTAGATGCTCGCAAAATTGTCAGACTTCCAAATTTTTCAGACTCTTCTTCCTGAGACGCTCTTAAAGCCAAATCCACCCCCCTCCGGCCTTAAGTTCCCGGGAATTGGTTATGTTCCTGTTGTAACGCCTATTTTGAGAGATCTACCGGGGCGATTTTTACGATTTTTGGGTCGATTGAAAGCTTCTAGCTCCTAGATGCTCGCAAAACTATGAGAATTTCCAATTTTTCAGCCATATCTGTGTAAACCGCTGAGAGATGCAAATAGACCCCTCTCCATATTACTACTACACAGCCTTCACCCAACGCCGAAGGTCAAACTCGGACTCAGTCTCAGCACTGCTCTGTCTGAATAAAAGGAAGCCGCCCCAGATACGTGGTTCCATAAAACTGTCGAAGCGGTGCGATGACATGGGTTTTCCCGTCCTTTTGTCTAACAACCCTCGAGCCCGAGACTGCTCGCTACGGGATCGCAGCCCTATTGTCTCATATGCCAAACAAAATCTGACCCTCAAAATTTAAAGACAGTAAAAATGCAATTTTTTCTATCATTCGGAAATTGTTTTTACAGTGTATATTTTTCGATTCGCGGTAAAATTTTGAGCAGAATGGTGGTCAAACTAATGAAAATACATGATTCTACGGTACACTAAGATCGATACCACAACTGCTGCATTTATAACTTGCTGAACGATATTTCCGTTACTTATCAACATATCACGACGAAATTTAGTTCATTGTAATATACTTTTTTAGCAGAGCGTAAATTTACTGAGAAAGTTGAAATCGAACCCGATGAGAGAAATTTCATCAATTTTTTTGGAGCTCCACTAGGCCGAGCAGGAAGGGAAAAAAGGATGACGAATTGAGATCTATTGCTGCCGCCTGGTCTCCTGACTGTCCAGGCCCAGCTGTTCTTGAACGCTTTGACGAGATTTTGTCGGCAGACGAGTCAAAACATGATTTTCCGACCAGGGAGCGACATCCAAACCTCGCGCTAATCCTCTCATTGTATTTTTATTGGAGTTATGTCCGAATACTTTGAAGAAAACCGAAAATGGTCTCTTTTTTAAAGCGTAGTGTTTGCAATTCTGCCCTGCTAAGGAAGAACGACATATGAACATTCGGGAGTTGCCAAATTTTCTTCGATAAAATGTTTATTTTTGAGGAAAATTATGAATATTTTCCCCATGAAATTTTCAGACGTTTTAGATCAAATTAAAAACAAAAGTATCCAAAATTTTCAAAAATTTTCCTGAAATTTAGTGGTTTTCCAGGGGAAATTTGGCAACGTCTGAAGACTCATACGGCGTTCTTCCTTACCAATGCAGAATTATGTTTGTCCCTCCCGTTACCCCTACATCAGCTACCTTTATCGAAGAGCAAAGGAAAACCGTGGGAAAAAACAGGAAACAAAATGTTTTCAGGACTGAATTGCTTCCTTTGAATTGCTTCCTCTGAGTTGCTCCGAAAATCAGTCTATTCGTGTACGCTGCCAACTTAGCTGCATCCTGCATCTCGAGAGCAACACTGATTAGATTTCGAAATCTCGCGACTTTTTGAGAGGTTGCCCATCGCTCATCTGCTTTCGTCGGATACGTTCTTTTACGGTTATGTTAGTTGATCAATGGGTACTTAACAATATCTGCTCAATTTTTCTTTCTTTTTTCACGGAACAGTTCCGATTTGTGAGTGTCCGATATTGAGTGATACTATTTTGCCTCTGTATTCGCGAGATACGTTCTTTTGCGGCCGCGCCAGTCGATGAATGGATATTTAGCAATTTCTACTCATACTTTCTTTCCTTTCTTTTTTTACGGAATATCCTCGGTTTTTTAGTGTCCAACCCAGTGCGAGGCTATTGTACACCTGTTTTCGCCAGAAACGTTCTACACAATTTCTACTCATATTTTCTGGGTGCAAATGTGCGAGATTGTTGCGTCCTGTGCATGAAGTTTGTCTCTTTTTAGTGCGTATACTAATTAATGAGTCTAATAATTTACACATTCAAACAATTCACTCGAATTTTTTACGCAGAATGTTCCTTGAGTGAGTAGCTAACGACTAGGAGGAGTAACTCCAAATTTACATGTATTTTGCCGGTCAGTGCCGAGTAACCGAAAATCCTTCTTTTATAAGGTAATACGTTTTGTACCCCGTTCGTTCATACTTTTGCGCGAAATTCATTTGAAAATACATCCATTTATATGATGGCCAAATGCATGAGATGCTTTTTTTCATGTAACATTCGAAATTGTCTCTTTTCTTAAGTCCTAAACTTCTCTACTACTGGCGCCACCCGACGTATGATTGTTTAAGTCTGTAGCTTTGGCGTGGTGTTGGCTGGAGTCCTGGAGGACGCCAGTGAGCTACTCCTCCTGGCCAATACCAAGTGCGCAGGGCTTACATTGTCATATTCCGGAGGGACTTCGCCTTATTTAACTCACAGTTAATGCCCCCCCCCCCCAGAAAAATCCCTTACAGGAAAACTATCCATAATGCTTCTTGGCAATTTCGCGTAATTTCGTTTTTCTTTTGAAAATTTACAAGGAAGATCATTACGGAACTGAAAACAGGTAAACTAATTTAGGAAGGAATGCCTCTCGTATTCATGTATTCAGAAGAGTTCTTATTGGATTACATTACTTTATCATCTTTTTGCATTTACGGCACGGAATACGGCTCGCTTGCGAGCCGTAAGTCACTCGCGAAGCGAGTGACCGGGGGTCCAGGGGGCGGAGCCCCCGGCTAGACGCGAGGCGAGCGAAGCGAGCCACAGCGGCTAGTGAATTTATAAAGTTGATTCCGTGGCTCCGTTTACGTCATCTTTATAACAATCGCACCTTACTCGCCTCGTAATGCATTTTATGGCATGACGGTTCAGATGACAACTATTAGAATTTTAAAGACCTTGTTACAATTGTCGTACAATCGTCATTCTTATGAAAATATTTCCGAGTGCAAAATATCTGCATTTTTTTTTCTTCAGCGAATATTTTTGCAGGATTTTTCTCACAGTGTTGCAAAGAATTTCCAAAGGTCCACATCATTCACGTTCAGAAAGTTGTCCTCCAAAGAGTTAGCAGGAAAAGTCCGATATTCTCGAGTTTTCTTTTACGGATTTTTAGAAAACTAGGGATTTTCGCTACACCTATGCCTCCTGATCGCTGCGCGAAAAATAGAATGTGCTCGAGTGAAATAAATTTAATGTGACTGAACGAGATTAAAGTAAATGTTTTATTAGAACTTTATAAGGTCGCCATTTTGAAACTGTCTCGATAATGACTTCGGTTTTGGGCAAAAATGTTGCTTTTGTATGCTTCTTCAAACGAGGTGTTTCAATCAGAAAAGAACCTTTTTCACCATTTTTACCTGGGAACGTCCGCCAATTTTCAAATCTTTACCTCAAAAGTCAGAGGAAGAAAGGGGACTTTTCTAATACCTTGTGAATATTATACCCTTTTGAATATTCTTCTTTTCTTCACAAAAATGTTTTCCTTTCAATCTTTTCCCAATGTTTTTAGAGCCCTCTGAAATGAAAAATAACAGACATGCCGATGACCGCGCAGAGCTACAACTATTCGTGCTTGATAGATGTCTGTGTTGCATCTGCAAAATTGAAGGCGCGATAGCGCGAGGCATGAACTCGCGATACTCCGCTCTACGCTGCCGATGACTGATGAGGTGTGGCTCAGATTTGGGAGAAAAGTTTAAAAACGGGGCCAGAATACGTCTTTCTTCGGCTGTGTTGCTCGAGTAACCTTTGAAGCACCACTACAAACAAAACAAACGAAACCAACATAATGTGGAAACAGAGCACCGGAGAGGACGCGCGTTGATAACGGCGCAGAGATACGACTATTCGTGCTTGATGGATGTCCGTGTTGCATCTGCAGAATTGAAGGCGCGATGGCACGAGGCGTAACTTTGCAAAACTCCGCTCTATGCTGCCAATGAGGTGGATCGCTTGGATTCGGGAGAAAGGTTAAAAATCTTCGGCTGTGTTAACACGCGATTTCTCTCCCATTGGATACCTGGCTTTTTTTTTTTTTTTTTTTTATCGTAGACTTATACCTAAAGCTCGTATGCGCCGGCAACATAACTCTCCCATAGGGTATAGTCGGGTCAATTTGACCCGGCCCTGGATTCCTACCCTAGTAACAGTGGCTGTTGAGAAAAGTTGTAAAAAAACTCGTACATTTTAAGGGAACTTAGAATTTACTTCAAAACCACGTGAAAATTACGAAAGAGTTTTTTTTACTTGTTTACAAACTCTTAAAATTTAAACAAATTTTACATTTTTTTGACAACTTTTGGTAGAATATTTTTTAAATCCATCGCTACTAGGGATAGAAGTAGTCGTGAAAAAAAAGTGACACTCGATTTTTCCTCTTTTTTCAATTTGATGTCCGATTCTTTATTTTCTAGGTCTGAGTTGCGTAATTTAGGCTCCTATTTAAACGCGCACTGTCGAGAAAGCCGAGGTACTTAACGTCCGAAAAAATTCCTCTCCTTCCCGCGGCACAGCGGTCAGATCGGAACCTCTGCCGCGATCCACTGCCAGTCGAACCGTTATTGAATGATCCTGATTGATAAACCCCTCTCTCAGCTATGCTTTTTACCGATCAAGGGCATTCGATATCGATTCGACAATCGAGCCGCTCGTCCACAAAGACTGGGGCCGGATTAAAGGTTTCGCGTACGGAGCGGTTACACACCTGGCGCCATCACAACGAGGGTGCTATAATTTGAGAGGAGAGCAAAAATAAGAGGAAGAGGAGAAGAGAGTAAAAGATGAAAACAACGAATAGGAAAGAAAGAGAAAGAGAAGTGAGAATAAATAGAAAGAGACCGCTACTGATCGCACTGAGTTTAACGCAATGTGTGAAGTATTCATGCGGTCTTGTAGGCGCTATGCGTTTCACGCCGACCCGCTACTGATCGCACTAAGTTTCACGCAATGTGTGAAGTATTCATGCAGTCTTGTAGGCGCTAATATGTGTTACATGCCGACCGCCGCCGCGCCGAGTGTTTCTCCTTTTCATCTCGAATCCTCGTCATCATTGCTCTTTCTGCCATTCCTTCGTTGTATTGTGTCATTACAGTGCCGAATCATGCAGTGGCGTGCGGTGGGTTCAGTGACAGGGCAAGCTCTAGCGTTCGCCATCCGGGGGGGGGGGGGGGGTTAACGTAGCCTCTTTCCCTTCCCCCTCCCCCTAGCCTCCCTAGAAAATTCTTAAAATTTTACTCTATTTGCTCTATTTTTCGGATGAAATCTGATGGAACGTAACGTCTTGAAAAACTGTATTTTTATTTTTTTCTCTCTTATTTATGATTTCGTTTACTCAACTTGTTTCGAATGTTATTGAGCATTGGAGGACGGCTCCTTACTCATAACTCCTAATTTTGCCACTTATTTGAGGTATTATAGTCTTTATTCTACAGCATTTAGAATTTTTTGAGTTACTTAAATTTCCCCAAAAAAAAGGCTTTCTGCATTAAAACATGATTGAGAATTGTCTAATTCATCACCAATTAGATCCAAGTGAGCGAACCTTTATAGTATATAATGGCATTTGCTCCGGAGGAGCAATTACAACCGCGACGGAAAGAGGGAACAAGATAGCGCATCGTAGGCAGAAGCAGCGCGCTGCGGTGACGTGCCAAGAGATGGCCAAGAGAAGCGAGCTGCGATCGCGCAGCGAAGGGCTCGGACTCGGAACGTACCGCGCGCCCCGCCTGCCTTGATTCCGCCGCCGAGCAGGGGCTCTCCGCTCAGCTGATCGCAAGCGATTCTCCAGCGCATGAGTTGGCCCGTGTTCAGGCCGCGCAGCGCGCTGCGCCACCTCCATCCGCTCTTCTGCTTTCCTACTTTGGTGGCTCTATACGTATTTCTGTCTCCCTCTCTTTCTGTTTTTAATGCAATTTACTTACTGAACGCATTTTATAAATTATATTTGCTAAAATGTAAAACATTTAATAGGTGTAATTTTCCTCTTTCTTTAGAAATCTTTGGGCAAGCAGTGCTTGCCTTGCTTATCCGGACCGCACGCCACTGCGCTGCAGGCCAAATTGTATGTTTGATTTCTCTCTTAACTCGACTAATTAATGGTGCTGTCTCTCGTATCACTGAGAAACGACAAAATTAAGAATTACTACATTCTCAGGAAATGAGAGATTTTGTCGCCATTCCTTGTTTATAATTTTTTTTTTCTGAATCCGTTTTTTTCTTTTTATACCTACATTTAAAAAAATTGCAAAATTTGCCGCCTCCTAAATTTGCCGCCATGGGCCGCGGCCCATGTGGCCACTCCCTAAATTCGGCCCTGGTGCCTGATCGAAACATCTCACGACTAAAGATCTACATCCCTTCCTACTTGTGATACCTAGCGTATTGCCCACCGGAAGTTTGTTTTCAGTTTTCAAATTTAGTCCCGACTCCTCTCATGACTTGCTCCTCTATAAGCGTCGCGCCGCTGGTTAATCACGTTATAGGTAGTGCCTGAAGTCAAAACGCCTTCATGTCCGTCTGTATGCAACACGGACATCCATGGAGCCCGAATAGTTGCATTCAGGTGTTGCGATAAAATTCGTCTGATAGCCGTCGCATGCGGCACCGGCAATGGGTGAAGCTTTGGTTGTTTTTTTCACACCTAAGAAAGTAATTCCAGCGTGACCTATGTACTGTGCCGATGGAAAGTAAACCATCACAGATTTTTATCGCAAAATTGTCACTTTTCCGAGGAATGCACTATTCTAATATATTAGAACGTTTTCGGCCCTCGAATTTGCAAACAATTCAGTATTTGAGCATGATACGTAGAGTTTCCTTCTACTTACTTCAATGAGTCGCCCTTTTGTTTAAATTTTTCTGCCCCCCCCCCCCCCCCCATAAGAAAACTAATTGGAACGTTGGTAGATCCCACGAGATTTGGAACAAAAACAATCACCATTTGTCTTCCTACAAGATGAAATGCAACAGGAAATCTGTTACCTACATCACAAGCCTAAATAGATACACGTCTGAGATTTCCCAGGTGCAATGGCGAAGCAAGCAGAATGAAGTCTGATAAATATATTAGTGAAAATTATGTTTTCCCTCCTGAAATGTGGACTGCGTCTGGTAACAGATCATGCTAATAACAGATACCGAATGAGGAAATGTTTCGTCTGTATGATATACCAATTAAATAGGTGTAGACCACTCTTTTCTTTGACTTTAAAGAACAAAATGCTCAGGAAAAACAAGAAAATTAGTTCTGTGTCAGTCTCAAATCTGCAGCTAGCCTAAAAAATTTAATTGTCTTTAGAGAGTCTCTGAGCGAAAATTGTACAAGGAATTAGACAAGGAAATAATTTTAACCAGTTGCTTTCTTTCACCCACAATTTGTACATACCGAGAGTGTACATCCGCAATCACATATCTTGTTTACGGTGTTTGAAAATCTTCGCTCCTATTTTATTTTTATAAAGGAGAACAAATTAACATCATTCTTTGAAGTTTTTGCAGATTTTTCTTTGCACATAGAAGAAAAATCGCGGCAATTTTTTGGAGTTGCCGTTGAGGATTTTTCCATTTAAAAGATAAAGTAAGATAGGAAGTCTGCAACAGCGTAAACCTGGAAATGTGGTTGCGGACTTACGCCGCCAATATATAAGAAGTCCACAAATTTTCATTGCTTTTTCTGTTGGGGGGGGGGGGGGGGTGTCAATTCAAAAGGCTTTATTCACTCAATTTGACACCATGTAAAACTGATTCGAATATCTTGAGTCTAAAAATATGAAGAGCAAATTTTTCCAGGAGCAGACTTCAGATCTCTCTTTATATTTGACTACTAAGGCTAGGAAAGACCTCGGTTTCTATCCAGCTCCTGCCGAAAACAGAGGCATTTTTGGCTTTTGAAAACTCCTTTAATCTATTTTCATTTTGTCTTACAAAATCGAACTGAGAAAAAGGGGTCATTTTCCGAAACAGCGCCAAAAATTAACTCAACAACAGTTCAAAGAGTTGAGGTGACACAATATTTTTTTGTTCTTGACCATGAGGCTCAACACGTTATTCTTTTAGCACCCCTTGTCTTCTGTGAAGGAATAATTAATTAATTACGATTTGGAAAACAAGGTTGGGATCTAGAAAAATAGGATGTTGATTTAGGAAAATTACTAAAATTTGTATTTAATTACAAAACTGATTTGAGTACAAACTTACAAGCTAGCAGATTCTATGTTTAAATTAATCAAAATGTTACACTTTATACACAAAGTAAAGTAAGAATAGACAGGTGGAAAAAAATAGGTTGGCTCAAGGCAAAGCCCTGCAAAATAAATGCAACAAGCTTTATTTATTCATTCTTTAACACCTGGCATGTTCATGGAGGAATAAGACATTTTGAGACCTTGTCCAGGAGACAAATCTTCTTCTTGATTACTATTGGCTTTTTTAACATATTGAGGATTCACATCAATTTCCTCTTCCATCTGATTTATTTTGCGATTTAAGTCCATACATAACGAAATCTGGAAAACAAATACAAAAAATATAAAATAACAACACTTGAACTCAATAGACAAAGATTAATCAGAACAACGAACAAAATTTCAACCTCTCTTATTTTTCAAATTGCTTTCAAAAGCTTTTAGTCCATTTAGCACTAGCTTGACAAATTTCATTTCTTCAAACAACAGAAATTCATAGATTATTCATTCATTCGCAATAAAGGAAGAATTTACTGATGGCTTTTCAATGTTGTTTTAGCAATACTATGGGATGACACTCCAAGTGAGAAGAGAGTGTTGGACACCAGCCAGTTTCTGAGGACAACAATTGAGGAAAGAAATGCTTTTACAGAAACTACAATGTTCAGTTGCACACCAATACAACTGACACTGCCACTGCCATAACAACTAAAGCTATCATTTCTGCAACTGTAACTGCTACCACTGAAATAACAGCTTTTGCTTAGGAAAAATAAATAAAACAGAGACTTACTTCATTTTCTAGCTTCTTCATCATTTCTGGATTGTTGTACTTTTCTGGATCATCATGAAACATGACCATTCCATCTTTTTGGTTGATGGTGGCAAAAATTTCTCCAGCTTCAATCTGTAAACAAAGAGAAAAAAATTATTTGGTTAATTGATTATCACTATGAATACTACTTATGAAATATTTTTAAAGTCAAAGGAATTTTTCTATCCCAATACTTAAGTAAAGAAAACTATACTGAATGCAAAATATAACGTCATTTACAGACTGCTCCAAATCGCTACTGAATCTAAATTGCTTCCCAATCAGCAAAGAACCTTGGTGCAGTCATATTGTGATATTGCACATTCCATATGAAAAAAGCTAAGGTATTGCAGAGAAATTGTGATACCCGTGCAGTGCAATTAAAGAAATGAGGACTTATATGTAACAATGGCGGATGTGAAAAGTGACCTTTTCGAAACACATTCAAAAAACTAATTTGGCATCGAGAAAATTTTGAGAAAATACTTGAGATGTGATCTTCGAGATCTGTACATTACGCCAGAGCGAAACATATTAAATTTTCGTGTAAACAAAACAGTTTTTTAAGCGTGTTTCGAAAATGTAATTTTTCACATCCGCCATTGTTACACATAAGGCCTCAAATGCTAAAAATCAATTTTGCACCTCCTTTCTTTAAAAAAAAAAAAAAAAAAAAAAAAAAAAACCGAGGTCACAAATAAAAATGGTGGTCATTTTCCAACGCAGCAACTCAATAATAATGAGCCTTGGCCATCAGAACATCCGAGCATTGAAGAGGATACAATCTGTGTTGTATGTACATTTAGAGGAAGAGCCTCCAATTGTAACGTACCATTTTTATGAGATAGACAACAGCCTGCTGCGGTCCTGAGAGTTGGGCCTTGGTGGCAACATCCGATAAGGAGAGGGTTAAAAATACTCTTGTCAACCGTTGAATATTTTTCTTGAATAAAGATGATAAAACCTGTTTGGTTAGGCCCACATTATTATCCCTGGACAAACAGAAACAATTGATTAATACCATGTATATCTATCATCATGTGGTACATGTATGTGCAAATTTGTTGTTTGAAAACTTAACATTATAAAAAATAGCGACAAATCCATGCTATGGGCAGGACTAATGATTGCAGATTCATTCTAGGAATCTCATCCCAAAGGAAAACATGGTATCTTTGCACACTATTGATTCTTCACTTGAAATCAATCCACTCCTCTGAACCTGAAAGGTCTCTTCGTAGAAGCTTACAAAATAATACTGAAAATTAATGCATTCGAGTTATTCATGTTTTCTCTTAGCATTAAATATCGTTCCCAAGTGATCCATACTTGGAACTGATTTCCTGACCTCATTTCAAGCAAACATCTAATTTTGCTTCTGTATGGTTTTTGATGAGATCGACACTCACTGTTTTAGTCACAGGCCTTTTTGTAAAATTAAGATGCTTTTCTTAATTCCCCGTGCAAAAACTCTAGGCACAAGAACCATCTAACGCTTACAAATACGTTCAAAGGATTATCCAAGGAGCATACACACCGTCTTTGCATTTAATTTATTTTGGAGGAGAATGGGTATACAGCTTACCTGACATAAGTTTCGTGGTATTTACTGAGACAATTTCTAACATCTTCAGCATTATTTGTGGCATAGGCTGTCGCTAAATCATGGTATGCCTGACTTAGAGGTCGAATGAAGCGAGCAACAATTTGTGAGGTATACTTGGGGAACGGGATGATCTAAAACATGAAAGAGAATACCTGTAAAAAACTGCCAGGAAGCCAAAACAACTGAAAAAATTTTCATTTTATGGCAAAAACTGATGACAATCCACTTAAAAAAAAAACAGTATAATGTTTGGATTAAAAAAATTAAACAAATAAAAAAAATAAATCTTATTTAGCATGTTTTTAGCTTAGGGGTGAAGTCTTGCTGGGGACCAAGGTATTGAATGCATTTTGCTGGATTACTTTTCTTGCTTTTAAAATTTTGGAGGAAAAAAAACTCGGATGCAATGCATGGAGGGGAACATTTTGGCTCCTGTCTCCAAAAATCTCTCCAACAAACCCTCCACCAAAACCATCATCTTTTTACAGTATCCTACATCGATAAGTCAAAATGAACAGAGAGTTTCACGTTTGAGTTGGGTAGCTTCATTTCTGAATTTTCTGTGGAGAATTTTTCTGAATAGCGAGCTTTATCAGAAATGCTTTAAGAAACTTTAAAATAAAGACAAAATAGGGAAATATGTGTAGGAATGACACAACAATAAGCATCAAAATGGTTCTTGAAAAGCTACATCATCAGATTCATAGCATACCTTTCCATGAATAATAAGAGATATCAGTATGTATTTATGATAGGCTTCTAGCATGATGAAAGATACAGCAGAGGCAGGAGTTGTGATTGCTACTTCAAAGAAAAATAGAGCTCTGTGATACTGTTTGACTGCTGCATAAATCATACCACCATAGTAATAGTACAGCAGGAAATATTTTGCATCGAATGAACAGTTCTGGAGGAAAAGAAAAGAAAACACAGAAAATTAGGGAAGATAACAAAAAGTAGAAAATCGGATAAGATGACAAAAAATGTCAATGATCCAATACTGACTGATAGACTGTAAAATCCAATTTCATTCAACTTTCATGAATATTTCTTCCATTACTCCATTAGCCCCATTTCTCAATCAGAGATTTAATACCAGGTTCACACTAATTTCTTTAAACTATATGCAGTATATTTTGAATTTGTCTTCACATTTTCATAATGTCCTAAAATGATTCTTTTACGAAAAAATTTTATCCATGCAAAAAGAAATGACAAAAAGAAAAACATTTTAGAAATTAAAGGAAGTTGATCTTTTGTTTCTTTTTAAACATATGAACTACAGACATATGCCTGCTGTCTATGTTCAGCAAAAAAAGAGACATACTATAAAAAATGAGTACCTCAATCATGAATAGATCAGTTGATTTTGATAAAAAGAGGACTTCAAAATTTTTTGTCCTTTCTCAAAATATCAAGATCATATAATTCTTCCGAGTCTTAAATCTTTCACTAGAGGTATGCACATCTGAAAATACCTCAAAAATGATTCTCATCCGCGGGTTATCCTCAAATTTACACATAATTAAGAATTATTTGCATTACAGCATTCAAAACAATTACAGGCTTTACCTCTTGACCGATTGAGACCATGTCAATGTCTAAAAATTCTAGGGCTGGTTTGAAATTTTTAGCTAACAAACATAATTGGCAAAGATCAGCATGTACAGGTGTGAGTTGCGTGCTTGACATTTGCAGCTTCTTAATTGCTTTTTGTAGGATGGCGATTCCCCTCATTGGGGTTTTAAATTCAATTAGGTTTTTGGTAAGATGGTGGCACAATTCTGCAACTGAAAAGAGAAAAATGAATTTGCAACAACAACTTCAGAGCATAAGTAGATACGGATTGACATAATGTACTGAAATAAAGAAGAAACCATTTAACCCGGTCATTCCATACATAGGTGTAGAACACCACCAAAACAATTTGCTAACAACTGCCCGCAACCTCATGAGTTAACTCGTCAATGTACAGTTGTACCAGAACTTGAAAATATACGTGAATAGGTGAAATGTAAATGGTCTCATGAAGAGGCTTGTTCTTTTTGGCAGCTAGAGAGATGCGTGATCGCAGTGCAGAGACAGCCATAATTTGATGATTGTCACCACATGTCGTTACTTCTCTCTACTTCACTGCACTGCTTTCCTCCAGGCATCTTTTTCTGCTGAGGTCACTCCCTCTGTAGCAAATTCTTTCCGATCAAATGCGGTGCATTTCAAAAATAATTAAAGGAAAAAAAGTTGAGAATTAATTCGGAAAGTAAGGAGGTAAGGAATAAGGTCAAATTTTTTTTAGAAGTTTCATCATATTTTATCGCTGAAGATGTTATCAGAGATGTTGTAGAATCTAAATTTAAAAATTGTCCACTTAGAGGCCACATGGAGAAATTGCAAGGACAACAAGTTGCACTGTCACCCAACCAACCACATGCCACTGAAATTGAGAAACACTTTACACAATTTTCCCTCGTCCGAAAAATATTTTAAGTGAAAATTTCACTCCTTGGCTGGGCTGATTAAGCTTTTTGAACTTAATTCTGTCATTCAACTTGAAATGAAATGGAAACTTTAAAAGAGGGATTTTTTACACTGAATGAATATTATTACCAAAAAGCAAGTATTATTTCTAATTTCTCCCTGAACTTAGGTAGGGTGAAAAGTTAGAAGTAGGTGTTTAGTTTGAATGAGTAATTCACACTGATTGTTTAGATTGCTATTAAATGCTTTTGACTCGATTGTGACAAAACTTCTTACTTAGAAGGGATGCTTTCAAATTTTCAATTTCAGTTGAGTTAGAAGAATTTCTGAAAATCAGCATTTTAATGAGCTATATTAGGTCTTTGTAGAATTACTGATAAAAACTTGGTAAAATTCAGTCTATCTAAGTCCTAACTTTCTTTCATGCTTAAGAATAGGAATCTTCCTTCACTGAAGAGAAAAAGTACAAAATTACTTACAAGAATCTGGCATCAATCTAATTTGCTCTCCATTACAGGTACTGAGAAACTCTTGTACTTTTAGAAATGCCTTCTCAAAAGTGTCAGGGGGCATGGGTGCTGTGGTTGAAAGTTCTAGACACAAAACTGCTAATACGCCAAGTGAATGTTGCTGACAATCCAGACTTTCCAAAACTGACGGAAGCTGCTCCCTGTATTTCACCAAGACATCTGAAGATTTGTTTAACATATCCACTATTTCACGGTAACTGCCTGAAATAAAAATAACTTAGATTTAACTTGCCAAGTAAACTTACTTAGGTAGGTACCTACTCATTCTTCTTTTTAAAAAAAAACTGCACAATAATATGTGTTTGAACAGATACAAGTCCACAAAAAATAGATTTAGAAGAGGACACCAGGTAAAATTTGATAGCTCTGGTCTACAATCCACAATAAAAAAGACTGCAGATAGAACCATAGAGTTCGGCACCTGCTAAATTTCATTATTTCTTCATCAGATGTTCTTTTCAATCTCCCAAGAACAGTAGATCCTTGAGAGCAAGATCCTCTCTTCACTGATGATATTGTGAAGAATGAATGTGAGTGCCAAATAATCATTTTCTGGTTAAAAAGAAAAGTTCGCACTTTTAGGATAAATGATGTCTTAGATGTTACGTACTATCAACTAACTCTTTGCAACATCATATTGTACATTCCTTGGACATAAAATCATCAATTTTTTAGGATGTTCAGAACTGTAGATTCATTAAGATGAAGGCAAAGAAGAAAGAATATCCTTGGATATTACTAGAACAGCGAAAACTTGTTGGATTTTAGCTCAAAGAAGAATTGGATGAAACATAACCTCAAAATGATCTTAAGGAAACCGGTCCATATATAATGCTAAAAATTACCTTGAGCTGAGAGATTTTGAATGCTCGTAACGAATTGCTTCAAAGGAGAAGCCATGACTGCAAAATAAGTAAGTAACCACTTCACAATAATTTAAAATCGCGGTGCTTCTACGAAAAAAGTTTTGTTTTGAAATCCTAAAATAACCCACTTAGGTTAGAATAAGGATAATGGGGGGGGGGGAGGTGTCGATGGGAAAGACAACAGAGACGTACAGAGATCCTAGATCTATTTTGACCCAAAGATCTTATTTTGTTTCAATGCACCGTTCAAAAGCTCAATTTTGCAATACATTGCAACCATGTGATGAAATTTTACGTCTTACGTTAGCATAATAGATAAAACACAGAAGATTGCGGCGAGCAGAGAAATTGACATTCATTGAATATTCCACTCAATCACAGCGACCAAACGCAGGTCTTACGATGATTGTGACTGAGTTGGGTCATGTTTACGTGATATCCTTGCGACAGCTTCATTGCCATTGGCTGATCAGGTCAATGCATCTTTTACGTCACGACAAGATTTACAGGTAGCTGCCTCGCTATCTCCTATGGGGTGTTCTCTTCTACGTGTTTCTGATAATGGCCTTGAGGGTTTATCATCGCTTATCAATGCCAGATCCGTGATCCTTGTGTCATCCGTTTCAAAGGTGTGAAATCATTTAATTTTTGCGACTGAGTGTGTTACAAATTTCACCGTGAAAGATAAGGCTATTTACTTTGTGTCCCTTTGGGCACAAGCCGCGGCCGAGAGTGAGATGTCAGTGCGAACGGTCGTGAGTCGACTGTTCCAAAATGGTCGATATATATTCGAAATCCTCCGACCGCAACACAGAGTTGTGGACTTTCCGAAAGTCAAGATTTTTCCCCGAGGAATTCAAGCCCCCGAAGCTGCTCATCTAAGCGCCCAGCATGCAGTTCCGAATCTAGTTAACGCGAGCATTCAAGCTCACTTCCAGAGTGCACGTAAACTCTTTGTTGATAACATCCTCAAGAGAGTCACCAATTCCCTCGCTGCTGATTTGAGACGAAGGACTGCCAAGAAGTTACTGTTCGGGGACTCCACTCCCTTCTTTGCATTGGTTGGAGTAAGTTTAGCATCAGGCACAGGAATCTTAACCAAAGAGGATGAATTTGAAGGTGTTTGTTGGGAAATAAGGGTAAGTCTTGTTTGACGCGTATTCTCACTAATTGTTAGATTTTCACTATCGTCCGTGGTTGCTTGGGTCCTAGTGGTAGATGTCCATGGACACTGCACTTACAAAAATCTCAGTTAAACAGTTGTTTTTAGAGTTGGACTGCGGTAATAAGGAAATTGTTGACACTTTCTCTTTTCAAGCATATTGACAGCGAAACTTTCTAACTGCGTATCTCCGCTTGGGACATTGTAGGCCAAGTCAGTTGCGAAAGTTACCCGACATCAATTCCCAAAAACTTCCATGTTTTGCCCATAGAGTTCATAGAGTCATATTGTGAGTAGGAGAGCTGGGACCACGTTTAAGTATTTTCAAGGTTCCGAATTCTGAGTCTCCTGTGTCACGCCGGGTCACTTCTTTGATACATAATCGATTGTTTACGATATACGGGGACTTGGCCATCTAGTGTAAACAAAGAGGATAGGAATCACCTCGTATTCTACATCGCAATTTTGGATCGTAGAAGTGGCCTAAGCTCGGCGCACACCGGGCTTGGATCGTCATTCTGAACATGGTCCCAGCTCTCCCATTCACATTACGACTCCATGCACTCTATGATTTTTCCTTCTCCATGCAAAGAAACCATCATGGAGGAAAGGAGATTTTGATAGAGCTTCATCAATAAGCTCTATTTTTGACAACCTGAAAAATGACCAGAATTTGACAGTGATTTTAAAAATGCATTGGAAATTTTGAATGGAAGATTTGAGACTCTAAAATTTTCTTTACCAAACCAAAGTTGATCTTGTGATACTGCGTTTCTTTGCCCTTGGCGGACAACATGAGTTTATTCACTTTAAAGGCACCTAAACCCATGCAAACTTTTAGTATTAATTTTTCTTATTGTTTGAATACAAAGCTAAGTACTGGACAAGTACTCAGGATTTTGTTTCATAAATTCCAGACTTTTCTTTGCTATTAACCCTCAGATATCCTGCTCTAAATTTAGATCCATTCTTTAAAAAGAATAGCCATGCACTCACTTATCATTCCTATCATGACTTGTAATTGTAATTGTAATGGTACTTGTAATCAGGATGCCGTAAGTAGGATGAGAGATCGTTTACAAGAAATTGAAACAATTTCAATTGAAGATGTCGAAGGTCTGGGGCAACTCAAACTTGGCAAGGCTTTGGCAAAGGGGAGCAATGCTGTAATATATGAAGCAGAAAGAAAAGAAGTGGGTAAGTAGATAATGTGAAACAGTAAGTCAGTCTCCCTTCAAGCCTCTTTCAGTTTAAAATAAGGAAGAGTGATTTTAGTGAAGCATGAAAAATGGAGTGTTTCTCTTGCAGAAAATACTCTTAAGTAGAAAACAAGGAGAAGTAGTGGCTCTACCAGCTAAGTAAAGTGAGACTACCTCAGTCAAATCGACTTTCAAATAATTGGAAACCATGTGATAACGCACAATTATAAATATCTAATTCATTTCAGTAAGTGTTTTTATTTCTTTTTTTTAAATTAAGAGGGTACAATTTAGGCCCGAATCAAAATGCTCAAACCATCTTTTACTGATTCAATATTGTCCGCACCAGTTTTTCAATTACGTCATCTTAATCTCGTACATATCTAATACACCTGATCAGTGTAATTGTACTTACTTAGGTAGTTTTGATTTCATTTGAACCGTATTCTAAAAATTGAATACCCAAAAAGCATGTGTGTTTCTAGAGTTGAGCAGTAAATTTTTAAGTTGAAGAACCCAAAAAAGAAGGCAAACGTACAGCACTATATGTATTTATAATGAAGGATAATTTTTTAAAAACAAACCCAGTTTTCTGAGGAACAGTGTACATATGCTAGTTACACAAAAAGGAAGAAACGATAAATTAAAGCAGTAATGGCTATCTAAAATATTAAAATAAACCTTGCTCCTTGAGATATTTTGTGTTTCACTGTTTTTCTTCTAAGTATGTCTTAAATGAAATTTAAAGTCCTCTTTTTAATTTTACAGGAAATGAAGTAGATCAAGCCTCTAAAAGCAATCAAGAATTTTCTTTGGCTGTGAAAATGATGTTCAACTACGATGCAGAATCTAATGCCATGTCGATTCTACGTGCCATGTATAGGGAAACAGTGCCTCTGCGATCAGTTCCAGCAAGTGTCAGAATAGATGATTTCGAAAAAAGGTAGGTCTTCAGCTATCTTATTCATAATTGAATATAAACTGCTGGCTCCATAGGAACAGATACACTTTAATCAGTATTTGTGTATTATGCTTGTGTTTGCTACATTCTTTCTAAGAAACCTATAACTAATTAGATGGTAATTTTTTTTACCAATATCCTTGCCATTCACAATAAATAAACCTAGTCTAACTGAAGAAAATGATGTTGAAAGAAAAATCATTCCAAATGAAGGGTATTGCCAACATTTAAAAGAGGTTAAGCCGCTGCTCTCTTTTGTGATGCAATAAAGTATGAATCTCATGAACTGACAAAAAAGAGGAAACAATCAGTCCAAAGAAGGACTTAAAATTTTAGCAAAATGTTCTCCTTTGCCCAAGTTGAAATGAAGTTTCCTTCAAGTTTATCATGAAACTAATCACTAACTGGCAATTTTACAGTTTTGCCGAACGAATCATTCGACTTCCGCCTCATCCGAACATTGTAGCAATGTATAATTCTTTTGTTGACTACATTCCGGATTTGCCTGGCTCCCGGAAGTTGTACCCTGATGCTCTTCCATCTCGCATAAACCCAGACGGCTATGGGCGCAACATGTCATTATTCCTCCTCATGAAGCGTTATGATACAAACTTGAGAGACTATATTAATAACACCAATACAGAAATTCGGGACAAGATTCTCATTTTGACGCAGATCTTAGAGGGTGTTTCCCATATGAATCGACACAATGTTGCTCATCGAGATCTTAAAAGTGATAATATTCTGCTTGAAACCGTTGGTAAGTGATTGAATGTGTTTTTTCTCATAAATCTGCCTAGTCAGTTGGCACCAAAACTTTCCTTTAAAATTATGAAAATACTCCTCAGGGGTGAATCAGGAATGGAGAGATATCTTGTCATGAGACCTGACTACATTGGTTTTTGTTAGTTCTGATTTAATTTTGCGATGTCCTGTTGTGCTGAGTTATAGACATTTTGACATTTCTGATAGGAGCGCAAAAATTATTAAAAACAATGATGTTTACTGATTCAAAGCCAAAAAATCTCAGTTCCAAGTAAAACAGATTTCAAGAATTATTTGAGGTTTGTAAATAAAAATTCAGAAGAAATCTTTAGTGGAACTGTGCATAATGATTAGGATGAAGCACTTTACTTGCATGCAACTTTTACCTGCGACTGCTGGAAGACACTTTGAATGGATTCTGACGATCCTCTTTGCCTCATCTTGAATACAATCTTAGCAAAGTATAAGTCCCTTCTCACCAAACTGGTCACATTTTTTGTATTCATTTTCTAAGAATTCAAGGGATATTTTAGATTGTATAAAATGTATTATTCATCTGGTTTGCATTCGGCAATTTTCAACTATGTAAAAGTAGTCGTTTCTTGTCAGGTTTCCTACTCTAATTTATTTAATATTCTTCCAGGGGATTATGCAGAATGCCCTGGTGTTGTGATAACAGATTTTGGTTGCTGCTTGTCGGACAATGTCAATGGTTTGTCTTTGCCGTACAAGTCTCCGGACACTGACAGGGGTGGAAATGCTGCTCTAATGGCACCAGAGGTATTTCTCATCCATAGTTACTGATCATACGAATTAATTGTGAATTCTATGGAAGTATTACTAGGTTTACTAAATTGTTGATTTGATGGTCATTGAAACCACCAACGGTTCTTTTTCATTTTATCTGAAAAATTAATTTTAAAATTGTTGTTTAGTTTGCCTGAGGCAATTATTTCAATTCTGGAAAAGGAATCTGTAAGATGAAAAGTGGTTGACTGAAGTTGACTTCTGATAGAATCATGAAAGCGCTAAGCTTTAATCACCAACAGCTGGCACACAACAGAATGGAACAGTGTTCTACAGTCCCTGTAATAGATTATATAAGAATGTTGACACAAAGATCTAGAAAGTTCCAAATCATAGTCCGTTTGCTGTGGTCTGATGATTTTGCCTGACGGTCGTATTTCCAATTTGCATCATGAATCGCAAAATCGGGCATTATCTGCATCTCTGTGTTGACAAGCTTAACAAGCGTTTCAACATTTGTCATGAAATCTTCCAAATCTGGGAAATTTCAAAAACAAAAAATATAAACTCGCATTCTTCTTTTTTACTGACTCTTATTCTAAATCTCCTTGCAGGTCGCCACTGCTCAACCTGGCCTATTTTCCAACATTAACTATTCTAAATCAGATGTATGGGCTGTTGGAGCTATAGCTTATGAACTGTTTAATGGAGTCAATCCGTTTTACCAGACAAACAAGGAAACCCCAGCCCTTCGCAACACAACATACACTGAAGAAGATTTGCCGGCGCTTAATGAAAATGTCCCAGTAACCATTGCCAAACTTATTGCTGCTTTATTGATCAGAAATCCTAACAAGGTCAGTTAACTTTGTGTATATCATAAGGTCATTAGATAAAAAAAAATGAATGAATAAAAAATAAGTAGAGATGCTCACAAACTCTATTGATGTGAATTTTCGCTATTTTGAACTGGGTGACTTTTATTAATTTTTTGCAGTTTTATGTAAGGGTGTTCAGACAAATTCTTGCAGATGCTGCTTTTATCAGAAACAAATGGTTTTTTTTGGACCATGCCAGCTACTAGTCGTGGCATTGTTGCCTTATAAGTCAGTCCGTTTGGTTACTTGGCCTGTAAAACTGATAAACACGACAACAGCGTTCGGGAGGGGGTTAGTCAGATTTTCCTCTTGCGTGTGTGAGAGAGAGGTGCATTGTATCGAATTATGATCGTTTTGCACTCTAATGAAATATCATAATCCAACCAACAGTGGCGCAGCGTGCTTTGCAATATATCAATTGATTCGCCAATTATAACTATGGAAAAGGATAGATAGACAGGGTGTTCACAACAAACACCTTAATAATCAATTCTTTACCACAGCTTCAAATGGGAAAATATCAATAATTGATCACTCACGCCTCTTCACTGCCTACCAAATACTTCAGTGTTTTAGACTCTTCTGTGCTATGCTCAGTTATTCACTCCCCTCCGAGTGAGAGCTCGGTTTATCTACTTGCTACTACCTTCATTCCTCTCTAATTCAAATGTTTCATCCCAAATATGAAATAGACTCCCCTGAATTAAATATTTAAAAAAATTTAAATAATGTGTCAGCCTCTTTAATATTAAATCAGTACTATCAGTACTTAGTCGTAAAAATTGTCTTTTTTTCATGAATTTTTAGAGACCGTCTGCTGAGCTGGCAGCCACTGTATGTCAACTTTACCTTTGGGCACCAAGTGCTTGGCTCAACATGCCTGAAAACTCCTTGCCATCCAATAGTGAGGTGAGTTTCCACATCAGGGTAACCCTTGTTTTTCATGCTCAATGTTCTACCAAGGATCACATATTTCAAAAAGTCAAATTCCTTCAAATTGATTTAATTTCATTTATGTGGAGTCCGTAAGTTGGATTTAAGTTGAGGGAAGAGTGAACCCATTTTAATGTATTTTTCTCCCTGAATTTGTTTCTTACTGCAAACAATGCCTTTAGGCACTGATAGTGTCCAAGAAAACTCTTAGTACTTCTAGGCTTAAAAATAAAAAATTGAGAGACGTAGATTTTTTCTACTCCTGTTAAATAGCAATGCAATTACATCAACTGTCGTCCTTAATGACTCACTTTAATATTGCTTATCATGTGAGAATCAAAATCGGTCATCTGCTAAATCCTTTTTAATGTGAAAACAATGTTACCACACACAGAAACCAATATTACCAAACACTGTTGCCATGTAGTTTTTGGTATCAGTAGGCACTTAGTTAAAAGTGAACAAAATGTACATATTTGCAAACATAGACAAAGAAAAAGAAAATGAACAAATTTTGTCAAAAACCTGTAGGCTGTGCAGGTATATCTCTCCCATTAACTGCAATACCTCTCTTAATTTTCATTCAAACAAGCTGATTTTTCTCTCGATCAGTAGAAGATCTCTTGATCTCTCAAAGAGATCAAGATCAAGTCTTCTGGTGTCTTAGTTTTGAAAATGGCAGCATCAGTCTACTTTTGGAACATGCTGTGCAAATTATTATTATAATAGAGAAAAAATGTGCTAAGTACATATTAACTGTTCATGCCAGGCAATCACGACATTTATGCCATTTAAAGAATATTTGTTTGCATTTTTAAATTTAAAAAAAAAAAAAAAAAAAAAAAAAAAAAAAAAATCTATATTTTTCTAAAATTCCAATAATTGCCACTTAAATAACCACAATGAAAATTCTGAAGAAGGCAACTCAAAGTACCACAGAAAAAGTATTGACATTGATAATATTAAATGATCTAATAACTGATTCATTATATATGGTCTCTACTTTTGAATTATCAATTTAATTAACTTTGTTTTCTCATTTTTTCTTTTTTTCATTTTTGCAGTTGTTGCAATGGTTATTGTGTCTTGCAACAAAGGTTCTCTATCAAGGCCATTCCTCGGCTGTCTACAGTCAGCCTGCCACGGGAAAGCAGCGTACTGCAACAGAATATCAGCTTATTGCCTCTTTCTTACACCGCATCAAGTTGAAAACTCTGCGCCAAGCTCTCACATGGATCCAATCCGTATGAACTCAAGATAATCACTAGTAATTTTTTGGTTGTTCTTTCACAATTCATCTGATCATTGTTCAAATCTGTATTGTATTCTTTGCTTTATTTTGCTAAGAATTTTTACACAAGGCATAAACTAAATATTCTGCCTTATTTCTTTTATTCACATTTTAAAACTTTGTTGAAATCAAACTTGAAGGATTTCTTATCCACTTTATTTCTTTTTTTCCTTTACTTTTTGGTCATCAAATCCCATTTTTATTTTCTTTAAAACCCTCAAGGCTTTTTCTAGGCTATTTTTTCCTATCATTTTTCCTTTATATTTTTTGTTCTTTCAAGTATTCTCAAAAATACTGCAGCACCCCCGAGAAAACTTATCGTCATCATTTTTATCAAAATACTTTATTTTATCACTTAACATATGTATGCCATCTCATGTTTTAAGAGAATACATTGGTATTTTCCTGATTTTATTGTGACCAGGAAGAGTATTATTCACCTAATGTTTTAGTGAAAAAAAAAAGATAGAATTATCATAATGCAAGAGCTCTTTTTCTGAATTTTTAGCAAATTTCAAAAAAAAATTTCTGAGGCCCAACCTCAAGAAGATGAACAATGTTAATAAATCACCTGCCTCCTCCAATGATATGTCTCTTACATATTTGTACGGAGAATTTTACATGATGAAAACCTTCAAAAAATGGTAAAACTTTTTTGCATTCATTCTCTTTGTATTTCAAATCTTCTTTTGGCATTAGTTTTATCCCATCAGAATTTTGAAACACCATTTTTTTAATTAAATTTATGATAATATTTCTAATCTTCCTAACACCTACTCTTTTTTTTAAACATCATTTCACAGAAATTCGCCATTCAAATTTTTTCAAACCTTATTTTCCAGCTTTGTTAGTAGATTATTATCACAGGAAAGACATAGAAAAAGAGAAATTTTCTCTTCAGATCATACTCAAGAATACCAAAATCATAGTAAATGTACTTAATGTTATTGATTCCCATTCAACTAATTTGCTTGTACCTATGTATTAATTATCTGGTCAAAGTTTTGTAATGAATGTTCCTACAAGGAGAAACTGTGGTTTTTTTGTTGTTTTGTGTTAATTAAATTAACATATGTAAGAAAGTATGAAAATAAAACATATTTGAGAAGTTGATTAAATTCTTGAATTTATATATTTAAGTATTTCTGGAATATATTTTCCTCTTTTTTTTCATTTATCTCTTATACCATACCTCTCTGAGAAAGAAGTTCGAAAAGTGTTTTTGTTTTTAGAACTTCTCTTTTGGTGCTTTGGTGGTTTAACTTTGAAAATTAGGTACCTTCTTTCAGAATAATTTTTGCAAAACATTCTCATCTGGAACACATTCATATCATGTGAGATCTCACAGATATGTCCACTTGTCTGAACATGGACTGAACTCCAGTGTCTTAAGTAATTTCATAGTTCATCAAAAATTCCTCCTTTATTTTGCACACTTTTTTATTCCCTCCTACTTTCTAAATCAAAACTTTCACCGTCGTTGAGTTCTCTTTCTTTACAGAGACGTTCTGAGAAGCAGTAAGGACCCTCTGTCCTTTCAAAGTTATTTTTTTTCCCCCAGAGATTTATCATAAAAGCCTAAAAACATTTCCTCTTAATTTTGATCCTTATTTGGGAATCCATAAAATGGAAACATTTTACCTAAATGTCATCTCTGGGGCCAGATTTATGATTATACTGTATCTAAATTTTGGAAATGTAATCAGAATTACCCCCCCCCCCCCCAAANAAAGTCATTACTGTCAAAATTTGCTGCTGAGGTTTCCAACCCCCTTAGACTCCCCTACATCCAATCTTGGTTGTAAGTAGTAAGAGTTAGAATCGTAGTAAATTTTGCTCTGAGCTCGAATTCCTTAACTCACTCTCTAATTTGTGTCCCGAAAAATATCAGAATTACGACCAAAAGTCTGTATGGTTGATATTCTCAAAGAAAATGCCAATGGTAACATTACGTGCCTCTATACCCTCCAGTGTACAGCAGAGCAGTCCGAAAAATTCCATATCACCATGTCAATAAAGAAAGGAGAAAACTGGCAGTATCGACTTTATGAAAATATGAGAAATAAGAACCTTTTTTGACTCGCAGTACCCACAAGCTTTGTAAACAGGCCGTAAGTACAGTAAGTATGGTTTGAAAATCCACGTGGAAATGCTTTCTTTAAAAACAATCATGGTTCAAGCAGATACAGAAGACTGTTGAGGTTGGGATAATATTCCCTGTGCAAACAGAGAATATGAAACAAGTCTTTGTGAAAAGAATTCCAAAATAACTTACATTGAATGAAAGCAACAAGAAATTGATTGGGAAGCTATTAACGTTTTATCAAGGATTTGTTGAGGTACGAGCATAATGAAAACTCCTCCTCTGGACTTGGTCTGTGAAGGAAGTTTTACCTGCCCTCTACTCTCGCTATTTTCTTCCCTCCCCCCCCCCTCCCTTCTGAGAAATTTTTAGGGAGCCCGTTTTAATATGATTTATTTTAGGGGGTCTATTTCGGGGGTACGTCCTACTTTAGAGAAATCCACACACGTCAATTCGAATTTACCGGGCAGATTTGGCTACGTCACAGCGCACTCTATCGGGTTTCGGCGTAACATTCATCTGGCAAGGCATGGACGTGACAAACTGATAACTGGTTACTGATAAGCTGTCATCCATTCATTTTTGTTTATTTTCTTATGTGAAAAATCTAGTCTCTGTCAACAATGAATAATTCTTTATTGCAAGATTATGAAGATGATTACTTCCTCGAGGAGGATAAACTGTAAGTAACATCAGTTCGCCATTTATTTTCTTGTTTTCAGTCCTATGTCTAACCTCTTATCAACAGACTGCTCGGATGGAAATACTCAGGAATATCTTTTCCCGACTGAGCAGTCAGTCAAATGATTTCAAGCCTCAATTCTCCAAAGTGTTGTCGGCAATTTTGAGGTAGTCGATCTTTCTGAAATTTTGGCATCTCTTGCATCTGATTTAATCCTGAGATTCACAACTCTGCCGCACCATATTTTATAGCGAAGCATCAAACCTTTTTATCAGTTTCGCAAATTAATGAACATTTCATGATTTGTACATGAACGATATTACTTAGTACTCCATAACGTTAATCTTCTGCGCACGAGTGTAGCCTTGAGTTACACTGTTGAGCCCGCTTCAGAATACTTTTCTTCTGTTGTTGTACCTATGCGCAGAATAGGGAATTCCTCAGCCTGCGCATCCAGCAAAAGAGGAAATTAATCTAAAATGGGCTCTATCTCTATTTATGAACTGTGTATAGGTTGTAGCATGGGACTTACCATTGCTATTTTGTCGATTTTTTCATGGAATTTCAAAAACATTTAATTGATTTAAAATTTTCCCTAACATTTTCATAATGTTTTGAGCCTTTGAACGAGGGGGGTTGTGTTTTTTGGGATTTCTGTACTGAACAATGCTTCATGGGGGAGGGGAATCTTGAAGAGCGGGACGCAGTTTTGTTTTTATGTGCTTCTGGTTAGGGACTTACAACTGAAAATCGTTGAGTCCTGGGTACCTGCGTGTTCAGAAGGTTGGAGCGGGATCGTACTTAAAATCCAAAATTTAGTGTTGACAGGCCGTCTCTCATTCTGTTTGCAAATGGACTTACAAAATATAGTCTTAGAATTAGAGTGCTAATCCCACAGAATTTGACTCCCTGGAACCAGTGATATAGTTTTCAAAAAACATTTCTTTTCTTTGTTTCTCTGTTTTTTTTTTTTTTTTGATTGTTTGTTTGTTTTTTTTTTTTTTTGTTTTTTTTTATTTTAGATAATTTTGTTTTTTGGTTGATTTTTTTTTCAGTTGATTCTCAGAATTTAATGGATGCGCTTTTAAGAAATTATGTAATTTTTACCCATAATGGCTGCTCGTTACAGCAGTATTGACTATGTTCCTCTCGAGACTTTGTCCCAGTGGTTAGCCATCCCAACTATGTTCACAGAAGATCGCATGTATGTCATATTATTTTATGGTTTCATTTTTCGGTTATGGTTTTCTTATTATTTTGCGTTCTTTTCAATTCAAATCCACACGTAATCATACACTCAATCCCAATCGCCAGAGATTTTTTACCCGCTTTTTCAAAGGGGTATAGTACAATCCATATAGATGTCTTCTGCCTTGAAGAAATCCTGTCTAAAATAGCGTATCATTTATTCTCTTCATTTTTGTTTGTTTCTTTTTCTTTCCAAACCTCTCAATTCTTAACTTTTTTTCTTCAAAATTGGGAATCCCAAAATTTTATACTCGCGTAGAAGCTAAGAACCGGTCTCCTGGCAAGCCATCTATTTATGTTATGTGAATATTCTTGATACTATCATTTTTTAAGTTGCAAGTTTGTAAATATTTTGCTCTAATTTAATCCAAATTTCATGTATATATGTGTTCATCTTACTTTATTTTTCCTACTATTCTACATGATGAGTCCAACTTCTGAAGTTGTGACCAATACATCTGCAGTATCAGCACTAGTTGATGTAGACTTGTTGACCGAGGCAGTCAGTAATAATTTTCTGAAGGATGATTCCGAAGAAACAGAAGAGGATCAACTGTGAGTATCATTCTGTTATCACATAATATTTTTTTTGTAATATATTTTCTAACTTCCAAGATTAAAAACTTCAAGAATATTATTCTGTACTCAAAAGTTGAAAACTGCATGTCCTGACTGTGGAGTTTCAAAATTGACACTTGTCATTTTTATTTTTTTGAAGAAAAGCAAATGGAGTGAATGAAATTTCCACATCATATTATTCTTAGTTCATTTTCTACAGTGAAAGAATAAGCAAAAAAATTTAAAAAAAAAAAGCTTATCAATTTTCCTCTGAGAAACCTAACTATTTTAATAAATCAATTTTGCTCCAATAAGATACATAATTTTGAATTTTACAAGCAATGTACTTTACCTAATAGAACTGAAATGCAGTCATAAATATAAGTAAATATTCTGAAGAAATTTTTTATCTAAAGGCTGGCTATCAGGTAGGTACTTTTAGGTTTTTTAGGTAGGTCGCTTTAGGCACCTCCTTTTTTCCACTGCGTTTTAAAAGTAATCAGTCTGTTCTAGTCTCGGTGTTAATCTTGGAATCTAAGTACAAATGAGTTGCTCCAAGAGGCAGTAAATGCTGTAAATATCTTCCGATGATAGTGCAGTCAGCTAGTGATTCTCTGTGTACATAGCATTGACTAATATGATGGTTGATAGAATTTATAGATTATGTGCAACCCATGACCAAAGATCTGAACTGAAAATTCTTCTCCTGGGTGTTCCAGAAATACTAGAACTGGTGCCATAATTTAGAAAAGAATATATGTAGGTAAGAAGCTAGTTTTGGCTGCAGGGGTGCAGAAAGTTTAAAATGCTGAACGCTTGCCACAATCCAGCAGTTTCTGCCTTAGGTATAGCAAAAGAAAACAGCGATTTCTTGTTACCATTCGACCTGAAGAATTCTGAATTACAATGCTGATTTAGTGGAATAAGCGAATTAAGAAGTGCGTACAATTTAATGGATACGTTTTAAAATGGATCTAAAAGCACCTAAGGCACTCAAGTGAGCAACTGTGAGCTCTTCAAATATTTGAGAGAAAAATCATAGTTATCAGTAGTAGGAGATCCTCTTGTTTTTTTCAACCCGTTGAAAATTCACACATGTTTCCCCAGTGAGCACAATTTGATGTCAATTGTTGGGAAATCAGCTGTGGTCTTTCAAAATCAGCTAGTGCATTCAGCTTGCTAGATACACTTGTTCTGAAGTTATGGCACTAGACCCAGTGCCCACTTTCAGGACCTTAGAATCCTACATATTTTAAGTAAATGCGTACAAGATTGATTAGTTGCAACTATCTACCTCATTGCAAAATTTTTCTCCTAGGAAAAATAACAACTTGTCAATTCTATTTTCAGACACAAGATTGAACCTATTGAAGACTTGGAAAAACTACTTGTTGAACCAAGATATCTTTATCAAGATCGGATGTGAGTTATTCCCTTTAATTCCTGTAGGTAGCTTTTCATCACAACCTTAGTCATTGCAAGGGTAACTATTATTGTATACGTAGATGTATTGTAATTTGTAACTCACCTGTCCAAAATCATAGTAGTTCAACAGCAAGTCTTAATATAATTAAGATGCAATTTTTTGTTTGAAATCACCACTAATTTTAGATTTTTTACGATTGATTTTTTGGGATCAATTCTGTATCCATGCATGTTGGTATTTTCCTTAACTATTTTATTCTAGTCAGTATGTTGGTACAATGAGTGATAATTTTTGAGTATTCAATTCTTGTCCATACAATCAAATCAGTGAAGTTACCTAGTCATTGTAGTTCTAGTTTTAAATCCCTCAAGATTTTAAAATGCATTTGAAAATTTCCGTGATGAATTCCTGATAATGTTTTTAGTTTCAACTATTTAAATGATGCTAAGTAATTTGAAAAATATATATTTTAATATTCAGTTATCAGGAACTTAGGCTTTTCTTTTCCTCAACCATTCATCCTATGTACTATGTAGCATTAGTGTTAGTACAAGAGGATCTCTGAGCTCTTTGGCTCAGAATTCTCAGAATGCTCCAGTTATGTCTTTCCAGATGTTAATCTCATAGATTAAGTTGTGCCAATTACTTTGAATAGTCAGTTACAGTCCATAGTAATTTATTATATACAATGTCTTTTGAAAATGTTGTTGTTATTTTAGTTGTGAACACTTATTTATCACCTACATCAAATAAAATAGTATTCAATCGACACTTTTTTGCAATGCTTCTTTCTAACACTCTATTGTTCACTGCAAATTTTCTTCTATTCTCTTTATCCACCTAGGAATGTGCTTTATTTTTGTTGAACAGGTGAGAACTGCTCCAGCTAATAGATTTTTTGATAAGATTACTGAGCAAAGGATTCTTATTAGCCTCCTCATTTCACTGTTTTTATAACTGTGAAACAATACATGACCAGTGATCAGTGTGATATCAAAACAATAAGTCATCAGAGGAAAAACTTTGAGGGGGAGGGGGATGTTACTCTCCAACTCGACCCTACAGGTCGTAATTGACAGTCTAGGGAGACCTCTACATAGAACACAGTAGTAATCACTGTGTTAACGTAGTTCAAGCAGCCTAGAGAAAAGAGTAAAAAGTTCTTGATTTTGAATTTTTTTTTTTTCAAGGCCTTGAAAGAGCTCTATTTTTTGAACGGTGCTTGGAAAACGCTTGAATTTTACTCTCACAGATTGTTAGCAGTGAATGCTCTATGTCAAAAATTGACAAAGCATTTGACATAAATTGAAGCATCCTATTTACAAAAAAGAGTAGTCTTGGTCTAACTTCATAGAGAACCAAAAATTGCAGACTCTGATTCACGATTCGGGAAAAAACTTTTACTCTAGAAAAAAATTACAAGAAAGATTTTAAAAAGTACTTGACTGTCTATTCTTGAGGCTACATGAATTATGGTTATACCTATCTCTCTTTTTTGGCAAAATACAGCAATATCCCCCTTACATTATATAGGTACTTTTTCTCTTTATTTTTTCCTATTTTCTATACATCGTGGGTGCCTTAAATTGATGGTAAAAATGTGTGTTAGTTTTTGCAGAGGGACCATCCATAGAACACGTAACGCTCGAGTGGGGCTTGAGGAGAGAATTTTATCATTTTGTTTTTACATCTTAAACCATGGGGACCTTCGTGACAAAAGCAGTACGAGGGGAAGAGGGAGTTCAAAATATCCAAAATTTAGCATTACACATTTTTTGAGCGGCTCTGGCACAAGTAATCAGTGAGGCGGAATCAGAACGAATAAGACTCAGGTACACAGATAGCTGACTCTCCCATGATCCCTCTTATAAAAGACATTGTTGCTGGTAGGTCTGAAAAAATCTATGGTTTTCTTGTGGCTTCTAACATTTCATCATACCCCTATCTCTTCACCCTCATTTTAATTTCTAATTTCTTGATCTTCTTTCATGTGCAGGGGCATGGTGGTGACATCAGGTATTGTTACAATAAAGAAAGACACTACAAATCTCATTGGAATCAGTATTGGAGGCGGAGCTCCATTGTGCCCATGTTTGTACATTGTGCAGGTACAAAGTTTCTAGCCATAAGCTCAATCCTTCGATCTTATTATGATCTTTGTGTTTTCATATGTTGTCTTGTTACCCTGTTTCAATAATGGGTAGGTAGTATTCTTGAAAAAGCCCTCAATCACGAATAGAAAATCGTAAATTGTATCTTTGAAAGTTCGAATTATCTTAATTTTGTAGTAATATTACTGAACATTGTTTGATCTACCAGAACATAGTAAATTAAGAGAGAAGAAAATGGCAAATCATTTTTGAAGATCCTCGGCCATTTCTTATTACAAAGATTTCTATAGGATTACAAGTTGTTACATGATCTTTCCTCATGAATATCTCTCTTTTCTAAATTAGATTACATCTAACCACACTCATATACCTTGCTAGTTATAGAATATTCTGATAATATTCTTCAGAAGTTTGGAATGTTCTAAGATATTCAGACTGCTAATGACTATGGCGTGTTTCAAGGAAGAGAGGGTAAACAAATTTGAAAAAATATATACTTGAAAAACTGTGAACATTGAAGGAGGAAGTCAGTAGGCAATGTACGTATCTCAATGTTTTGTTTTTCCTCCTGCCTTGTGTCTAATTTCTTACTCATCATGTTTTCTCTAGATTTTTGACAACACTCCGGCTGCCAAAGATGGTACTTTACAGAGTGGAGATGAAATAGTTGGTGTGAATGGAGCCTCTGTTAAGGGTAAAACCAAGGTAGAAGTGGCAAAAATGATACAGGCATGCAAGGTAAAATTTTGCTACCTTTTTTCCTTGAATTGCACCCTTTACTTATGTAAGTCTATGCAGTATTATTATGTCCTGTGTCTCATTATACAAGTTGCTACCATATCTACTGAAGCATACCTACATATTTTTAGCGGAAATTTTTATAATATCTCATAATTTCTTACAGTAATCTAGAAAAAATTCAAAGTAGCGCAAGTACCCTAGATAGTTGAATATACTGGCCCGTACTGGCACATGTGGACTGTACTGAGCAGAAAGCTACCAAGTTACATCAGCCACTGCCAAATTTTATCGGATGTTTTATTTCTTTTATAGGAGAACTGTAGTGTAGACTCTTTTGAAAATTTTAGGTAATTCTCTCTGTGACAAGAAGCAAATTTCTTGAAATTTTCAATAGAATCTGTACAATTTTTCTCCGGAAAAATATTAATCAAATGAAATGTAGCAATGGCTAATGCGGTCTATTTGGTTTAAAATTTGGAACTTGTTTTGGAGCTTGCTGGTTCATCCACATCCCAACTATGATTCATTTAATTTGAAAATATGGTCCACATTATTATGTTTTGAAAGTTATGTGAGTGCTGATTTTGAATTTTTAAACATTTACTTGTGCTTCACTAAAAAAAGTCTACTCATTAGATTATCATTTGATGATTTCTGCTCCCATAGAACAGCTGTTTTTTTTTGTTGTTTTTTCCCCTTATTTGCAAGAAAACTCATCTGAGGGCATGGCTTACCAGTCACTGGTTACAGCAGATAAGCTGTTGCTGGTCTGATTTGTTTTTCTTTCAAGGAAGAGCAGCATAACATGCTTCTGGTTTGTTTTATGGCTACTCTGGAATGCCCTAAACGCTTTGGGGGTAGACAACACACAGAGAGAAAAAACAACAAAGGAAACTCGTTTCCGTTGAGGCCTCGAAAGCCGTCTGGATCGAGCCTTCAAGGTTTGTCTGGAAAAGGAGATAAGAGATGATAAAAGCGTTTTTTGTAGGGGAAAGTGGCCAGATGGTCACTCCGCAAACTCCTAAACTAACCTCATGATGAAAGAAGGGAGAGGAAATCCCTTAAAAGGAGTGGAAACAGCCCTTCTGTGATAGGTCAAAAGTGAAAAATTTCAAAACTTCAGTAATTTTGGCCTTCTACTTGCATGACATTGCTGCTGAGTTAGTTGGTGTAAAATAGTAAATTTAATCTTTTAGCCACTATAATTCTCACTTACCAGCATTAGCAATTCCTTTCAGGAAAGTCTTCAAATTGTTTTTCACTTCATCGTAGATCTTAAATTCGTATTTTGTCTCTTTTTTTCCTGTCTTTTTTAATTCTACAAAACATTTTCTTCCTACAGGATGAGGTAAGTATCAAGTACAATAAACTGCATGCAGACCCTCAACAAGGGAAAACTCTGGATATAGTACTGAAGAAAGTGAAACATCGATTGGTAGAAAATATGAGCACCACAACTGCTGATGCATTAGGTAAAGACTGTTCTGTCACTCTTGCAATATTAGTAGTGTTAGTGCCATGCTCATCTGAAAAATAAGTTCTCTTATTTTATATCTTCCAGATTGAATGAGATAAATCAAATCCCTACTAAGGTATAAGCGTGTATTGAAGCTGAGAGTTTGCCTAACACGTCAGGACTAGAGCAGTGATTTAAAGATTTTTGAATCTGATTGCAATTTATGTTTGATTAATCGCACAACTCTAGTCAGGATTTTTTTCGCAGTGATAGAGCTGTTTTAGGTGATTTGAGAGAGAATGAAAAGAATAGCTTCCTTAAGCTTCCACAGTTGCTTTACTTCAGTTGGCTAGGGTATATACTTTTCGATCTTCTCTCAATACTCAGCAGCTACAGTGGCATTAGAAGAGCCCAAAATATCTATCAGATGTACAATGCTCTGCTTCTTCTCCAGAAGAATCATATCAGGCCTATTGTGTGGGACGGTCTTGCCACCATACTGATTTTTCCTCTTCTTTTTATCTTGGAATAGGGAGCTTTTCCTGACATTTAACTGACTGGCCACTAGCCAAATTCAGCAATACACTGTTAAGTCGATTGAGAATCATTATCATGATTTTACTGAAAAATTAATTTTCCAAATAAATATTTTTCTTCTTCTCTGTTTTATTTTATTCAAACACACTGAAATGTTAAATGTGAATATTCTATTTCTTTTCAGGACTCTCAAGAGCCATTTTGTGCAATGATACACTAGTCAAAAAGTTAGATGAATTAGAGGCAACAGAACTCATGTACAAAAAATTAGTGGATCATTCTAAGTATGTTTTGAAGTCCTTCTTCAAGTTGCTCCAGGTCTATAAAGGTATTAACATTTTTATGGTACTTACAAATGAGATATGCTCATTAAAACGATGCTTTGCTCCTTTTTGGGGGAAAGTGAGCTTCAAAACTTACGTGACCTAACTTGGTCCCTGGTTTTTCTGCACATAATGATTGTTCAGTTCCCCTACTTTACATCGCAAAAGTTTCATATCTGAAAAAATTTTTAAGTGGGGAAGATACATACCAGGAAAAATGAAAAAATTATGATGAGTTGGAAATGTTAACTCAAGTAAACATACATTCATACCAAATCAAAAACTTGCAATAGCTAAACATACATACTAACAAAAACAAACAAAAACTAAAAATGGGAAATAAGAACCAGTCCGCGAACAGATTAGGCGCAATTTTAGTAAGTATCTAGTAGAAAAATTCAACTGCTTAAAATCCTAAGCTTTCCATTATTATTGTCAGGTGCTCGGATCGTTTTTAATAAGATAGGAAAATTGGGTAGAAAATCTCTTTACTAATACTGTGATGCCTAAATACATGGTGAGAGTCATGTGTTGTGGCCGTATGTTCTCTCCCCCTTTTCCGTATGGGCAAAACTGATATTACCTTGTGATCAGTCCATATTGATAATATAGAATTCCGCATTGAGGGTCAAATTAGATTTGAGCCCTCTGCAGGAACCACATTACTGTGTGAAAGTGCTATTTCAAACCATCATCAGCAAATAGTAAAATGTCTAACTGCTCCAGAAAATATCAAAATTTTAACCAACAACCAGTTAAGGCTGTAACATTTTGTAAATATAACGAACAAACAGAGGCCTCTATTAAAGTCTATAATACAGGTTACGGGGCATCCCTGTAAATCTAACCTTCTAATCGGACAACTAATTAAAATCTTTTGAAGGTTTGCTCAGTCCTACAAATTTCTGTCTGTCCTCAGTTAACTCAATGCCAAAAATGTACTAATTGCAATTTTTGTTTTAATTTTCTGCCGGACAGCATTCGGTGATGCTTTTGCAGCGATTGGTGTCAGAGAACCCCAACCTCGAGCCAGTGAGACTTTCCGTCAATTTGGAGACTGTCACAGACAAATGGAAAAATTTGGAATCACTACCCTGAAAGCTTTAAAACCAGTAAGATTATCATGCCTATAACATAGGTCTTACTTATGCCTATTGCTGTCTACCTCTTTAGTTCGTACAACATTTAAGTTTCAGTAGTTTTAATTCACTGTCATTCCTCATATACTAGATAATATTTATCAACTGAATTTCTTGTTACTTTCAGATACTTTGGAGAAGTTTTTCGTTTAAAGTAAACCTTCACAGAAAATAAATATTTTAAAATTAAACAGACATCGTCAATATTTGAATTTGATTTAATTTATATTTAACAAGACACAGATTGATAATGCTGTGAAGGGTATCAACAGAAACTTCAAAAATGCATATCACGATTCACATGAATAACTTTGAAAGACTTGCTTTACCTTGGGAATTGTATTATAATTTGTCCTAGCAGACACGCAGCTCTGAAAAAGTATATCCATATTATTCTATATTTCAGATTCTTAATGACTTGGGGACTTACTTAAACAAAGCGATTCCTGACACAAAATTAACAATCCGCAAGTATGCTGATGCAAAATTTGAATATTTGTCCTATTGTTTGAAAGTCAAGGAAATGGACGATGAAGAGCATGGCTATTCTGTGCTGCAAGAGCCTCTATACCGCGTTGAAACTGGAAATTATGAATACAGGTAATCTCTTCTAGAATATCAAATTTAAACTCCCTCTTTTTGTAGGCTCTCAAGTATCAAAACTTACATGCTTAAAATTAATATTAAAACGTTCATTGTCAATGAATTTTTGTGTATTGTTCCTGTTCGACCAGAACAACATGTAAGAAAATAATGAAACGGGAATGCTTAAAACCATAGTTACCAGCAATCGCCATACTGCTGGCTCTCTTTACAGGCAGTGTGATTAAAAACCTAAAATGTCAGGTAATTTGAAACAACCAGAATAAATTGAAGAGTGGCTGAGACATTAGTAAGAAGTCAGGAAATTCGAATTTGAACACGCATACGGTAAGCATCATAAGCTGGTCGATAATGCTCTCTGTTACTGATAGTGAGTGTAAGCGCTTACTTAGTCCTGATGAAAGGGCAAGAATTGGGGATGTAAAAGCCACTAAAAAGAGTTCCTAAAAATACCGTTTGGCACCAGTTGACAAAAGTCAACAACTTGATTAAAAAAATAAATAAATGAAAGTTAAAAGTTCAATAGCAGGAGAGGAAAAGAAATCAATGATTTAAGTTCAATATACACTAGAAAAGCTATATTTGCCATCAAGACACCAGAAAAGCTATTTTTGCCATCAAAGAGTTCGACAATATCCTAATTTCTTTCGAAATGCCGAACGGCATCCTTGCCGATTAATAATATACCTTTGTTATGTTGGCTAATTTTTAATTCAAGAAAAGTATAGAATAAGTGCCCTTGCTCATTGTAGTTGTTTAATTTTGCAGCTGTTTCTAATGACAAATTTTAACTCTTTGAAAATTTGCAGGCTCATTTTACACTGCCGACAAGAAGCTCGATGTCGCTTTGCCCAGCTAAGGTCAGATGTTCTAGTTAAAATGGAGCTATTAGACAACAAGCATGTTCAAGATGTTGTGTGGCAACTTCAGCGTTTTGTTTCAGGTAAAAGAAAAATCTTCATGCCCATGATGAGATTTTTTTTGTACAAAGGCTGTCCGAAAAAGACTGAGAAGCAGTCTCTTTTCTAGGAAACTTAAAGAAATCAGAATGCAGTTTATGGAAATCTGTAGTTTACTTATTTATGCCCAGAAAAGCGGGTAAAAACGTCATTTTCGGCAGTTTTCCGACAATACCAGAGAAGGCAGAAGGCGGATTTTATGGGGAACATATAATACGGATTCAGCAACCAAAAATACATAAGAATCGTTGTTAACCTCTTCTGACTTCTTTCTCACATGAGAACACATCTTCTTTCTCACATTTCTTTCCTTTTGAGATCTTTTAGATGATTTATTGAGATCGATTGAGATATATAACATTTATTTATTTTAGTCATCTTTACTTAAATATTCTAGAGCGTTCCTTTCCAATTTTTCAGGTTTAGCTCAACTCCATTCAACCTAGTGTATAAGCATTATTATTTAGAGTCTCTAAAATCTTCGTCTTTCATTTTCCAGGTTTAGCATCATTTCATTCAAATGTCTATGAGTTACTGAAAGGCAATAAGCTTTTTCCAATAGAGACAGATCTTGCTCAATCGGCATTCCAGTACAAGTCAACAGGTCCTGTCCTCCAGGTATGAATTCATTCAAACATTTGCTTTGTTAATGTCTAAAGCAATCAAGGACATGGCTGCAAAAACCACACAACACAGCATACCTACATTTTTCAGAAACTGTCCTTTCTTCATCTACAGCAAAGTTTTGTTTTTGAAATATTGCACTCTTTTTTTATTTTACTTCGGTTTTAATTATCTTTTTTTTTTCAAAAAAACTGAAGATAATTTTGTGACTGTATCCTTTTTACAAATCGTGTGTCTGTTATGCTGTTAACTTAAAAGCAAGGCAGGCAACTTACAAAAAAATAACGCCCTTTCAGAATTACAATTGTTAATATTACAAAGCCACTTCTACTGTTTCTACAAAATTTATACACTAAATTATACACAAACTATAATTACTTAGTTCTATATAATTCTAATAATGAGCCTGTTGCAAACTTTTGCTAGAGCAAAAGTAAGAATTGACTCTTACAGTACATGACTCAAAAATCACGATGAATGCATCGGCAAAGTCTAAAATGAACTCTTAACTTCACAATCTGCGCAAGAAAATTGGTTTTTTTTTAGCTTCCCGCTTCAAAAACGATACTACAGCACAGGTGAAAATTTTGTAAGAGGATTTGTCTCATCCAAAGCTTCCGAACTGGGCTGCTACACAATATTCAAGATGGTCGATGCCGACCCGTCAAAAAACACGAGACAAGACTGAATTTTATAAACTTGCGTGTTTACATATTTACATTTCCCTTGCTTTGATAGAGATCATGGTGCTTCATCACCATTTACGCGCAGAAGCGTCAGTCATCTTGAGTATTGTGCACTCAGCGCGCAAGGGTTGTATGGAATGACTCCTCTTACAAAATGCTCACCTGTGCTGTATTATCGTTTTTGAAGCGGGAAGCTTAAACATAAACAAATTTCTTTCGCATATTGTGAAGTTAGGAGTGCATTTCAGACTTTGCGAATGCGCCCATCGTAATTTTTAAGTCATTTTCTGCAAGAATCAATTCTGATTTTTGCTCTAGCAAAAGTTTGCAACAGGCCCATTGTCATTCAAATTGCCCTCAAAATACCAGTTAAAATGACTCAAGATGCAGTGAAGATCATAATGTTGATGAAATGTAGCGATGAAGTGAATAAATTCATCATGCAGTTCATATGTCAAAACTATCGGTTCAATAGCCATCGAACCCACCTACGGGCTTTTTCACTTAACGAAAAGTAAAGTAATAGGTGACACATTTTTTCTTGATTTGGTTTTTTAGGATGATGAGGATGCTGATGATGATGAGCCAGTCCAGGCAATGGAAGCAACAGAAAACAATGTTGGGCAGCTGTCTCCTTCTAAAGTGGATCCAAATTACATCACGCCAGGTCACACACACACAACTTCTCAGAATGAAAGCCAAATAACCTCAACTAACAACATTCATGAACTAATCTCCACTAACCAAACTTATGATAATTCTCAAAGCCTCAATGACCTGATTTTGAATTCAGAAAATTCTAACTTGCTGGGTGCCTCTTTGCAAACTGACCTCAGTTCCTTCCAAAACCTGAAAAGTTCATCTGTTGGTCAGCAATTGTCGGGTAGTGATTCGTTCGATTTATTAATGAATAGTAATCAAGATCTGGTCAATGTCCAAAGTGTGTCATCAAGTTTGCAGAATCTGACAAGTGATTTAAATAACCTGTCAGAAAATTTAGATAGCTTGATTCAGAATCAGTTGATACCTGGGGTGAATGAGATTCAATCAGGGCCCTCAAACGAATCAATAGAAAATGTGTTGAGCAAGCCAAGTGTCAATGGAGCAGAAAAAAATGTTGACTACCTTTTGGATTAAGTGCACTGACTTCCACCATATAATCAAAATTTAAAAAAAATTATTTTTCATAACAGAAGGTTTGCGTTTTAATCATGAAACCCTTTGAACTTCCTAAGACTCTGGACTGGTTTTCAACTAGTTCTTGATTTAATTTTATTATGTAGTAAGAATTTTATGAAGTCGTCAGTTTCAGTTGTAAAGTACAAATTGGAACTGAAGCCATCCTATTTATAGACAATGTGTGTTGCAACATGTAAATATTTAAAAGGAGCTTTAAGTTGATTCTCAACCAAAGGCTGTCTTTCTATTCTAATTTGAAATTTTTAAGTGTGAAATTTGATCTAATGTAAAAATATTCATCGCATAGAATGACGCATATCAGCGTCAGCCATAGTTATAAAATGAGTTTTTTGTCATCTTTTCTCCAAGTTTCATTTTGATAGAATGCTATTTTCACCCTGTTAAGTAGGTATTTGGAGACATCATAATGCCCTGTTGCAATTTGAACCTGGCAGGAAATTCTGAAGCGACTGTGATTGCTTAAAAGTAGGCACCCAGTCATAATGGACCACTTGACAAGGTACAAATATAAGCATTCTGATACATGTTCCTTAACCAGAATTTCACATAGAACATGATTCCTTCTATCAAAAATTCCTTAAATCAACTCCTAACTGAAATATTAACGTTTTTATTTTACATTGGCTACGGGAAATTTGAACTGCCCGGTCACAAGAAATGCAATTCGGCGGACTTTGTAATCAAGTAATATTCTTTCCCTGCTGTGTGTTGTTTAAAGTTCTAAAATTTCATTTTGCAATTTTTAGATTTTAATTTGTGCCACAGCTGAACCAAAGCAACAAAATTGAAGTTGTCATATTATCTTATCACAGAGACTGTTATGGTAATGTTTTGTGCGCATGTAGACCATTACCTTTTCATGATGGGGAGGTTTGAATGCAAGCATCAAGAAACATTAAATATCTTGGTTAGGAGTTAATTTCAGTAATTTTCGAATTGCGTTTTATGTGAAATTTTTATTAAGAAACATATATCAAAATGCTTACTTCATATCTTGTCTTCATTATCTTGTTCTGAGGTCCATTCTTTTAATGAACTCAATCATCAAAAAAATCAAATTTCAACGTCATGAACCTTTCTTAACCTAAGAGATGCTTGCAAAAGGGGTAAACTAACTCTTGCATGTGTGCGGTGGATGGTTTTTTTTTTTCTTGCATAACCTGTTGTAGAACTTGATGCGAGCATGATTTAAACCGAATTAAATGTTTTAAGACCTCTCAAATTTTATGCTGTACTTTTTTCTTTTTCTTTTTAATCGCCAAAAAGAAAATCATCGATTATGAAAATTCATGTGATGTGTGGAAGGACTCTCAATACAAATCTTGAAGCGCATATCAAAACTTCAGGTTAAAATATTTCAAAGGATTGCTCTACCTAAAGAAATTTCAAGAATTGGAATTTTTCAAGAATTTCAAGATTTTACCAATTTTGATGTATCTGTCATCAAACAGATTATTTGTTTCTATACCTACTTGGTAGTAGCAGTACTTCAAGTTCTGTAACATAATCAGAAAACCGAACCTCTTTCCTCCCCTCCTTCGCAAAAGTTGCAAAAAGTTACATCAAAATGGTCTCTTCTGTTGAGAATGAAAGGAGAAAAAGCAAAACTCACAATCAGTCTACGAACAAACATAACTTACATGCGCCAAGGTAAATTTCTTAGGATGACCTTCTCTCAGGGTGTCTACTATCAGTAAGAACCGGAAAATATCCAGAAATTTGATATCATTAAGAAAATATTAGGAAAATTTGTCATAGATCAGAAAATTCTGAGCGTGTCCAGCATTTTTCAATTGCATGCAGTTTACCATTTGCAAAAATGAAAAATTTGATTCGATTCATTTAACATTTTTGTTTGTAAAATCAAAAAATTTCAGCAGTTTATTGGCGCAAAAAAATCAAGTTTCATTTAGAATATCAAGAAAACATCAGAAAACCCAATGTGAAATTTTAGTAGACACCCTGTCTACAGAGACAGGTTGTCTCCGGGTGTCTACCATAGCAAAGAGAAGTCGTTACAGAACGACCTCTCATACTTATTCCATTTAATTTGCCATTGAATTTGCAAAAATTTTCAGGGGGAGCCCCCCCCCCCCCCCCCCCCCCCCAGAGAATATTCCTAGTTCCGCCCATGTGTGAGGTGTGTCGATCCGAACCCGACGTAATTTTAGGGGAGGATTCACAGCGGCCTGATATGTATCTATCAAGGAAGAGAAGAAGGCGGGGGGATCAAAATTTTTTTTAAATATGTAGAAGACCTAGCTGTCATTTAGACCGAGTTACTTAAATTAAGACGCACCGATTAAATCACGACGCGTTTTCGAAAAAAGGAGGTTCTTAGAGGATTTTTGAAGTCTGAAGGGGGGGGGGGGAGCCCGATAAGCGGTCTGGTAGTTTCATCGTTGATTTGTAAGTATATTTGCGCTTCATTTTTAGTAGGATCTGGCATGCGGCAAAAATATCGGAGGGCTCACGATCAGATCAACAGCTACAGTGCAGTGGGTGGTCTTGCTAGAGAAAGGGGTCTGTTTCGCTATGAACATCCGGCCTCACCTCTGATGGTAGAGACTGAGAAGGAAAATAAACGACGTATTATGTAACATAGGTGCAAGCGGCACGCGTTTTCAGTTCTAGGAGACCGGCCCGGGTTGAGCGGGAAAGGGCCAGACACAAGGCCCAAGCCGGACTCTTCGGCGCCTTGCCGACGCCAAACAGATCAAAATAATCATGTTATAATCTGTTGACACTTCGCGCGCGCTGATCAGCCAATCAGAGGAGTGCGTAGCGCGTCACTTGCAAAAAAGTGGCACCGACCGGGCCAACCGGGCGTCACTTCATGACTTCACCCTCACCTCACTCTTCACTTCCGTCAGTCGTCTGCCCGAGGCATGGCCCGAGGCGTTGTTACTCCGCGGTCAATCGGAACCGATCATTAATTTCTAGCTCCCAAGAAAGTACTAAGTATATCAGAGCATTCTTTTTGATCAATGTGCCTTAATTATCGTGTCTCGCGAAAGCTCCTGCGTGTCTACGAGAACTATCGTGAGTAATTCGTTGCGTGAACCAGAATCTCGCCCGCGGCAAGTGCAAGTTGAGTCGGCCATTGTTCGAACTTGTTGATTCGGTGTTTCGCACCTCGTGGTACCCGAGACCTCTCACGATGTTGTGCCGGCGAGTGATCGGATCGCAATTGATATTCTCTAGACTTTCGTCGTTAATTAATAGTGTGAATTGACGATTTCCGCATTATTACCGTGTCTCGCCTGAACTTCTCGGTTTACTCGAGAACTGTCGTGTGTGTTTCGTTGTTAAAATCGAAATTTAGCCCGTGGAAACTGACCATTCTTTCGGAACTTGACTCGCACTCGTGGGTCTTCAGCCTGTTTTTGAGAGTGTAATTGATATTCCATTGACTTTCGTCGTTCCATTAAAAGTGTGAATCGCTGATTCACAGGATTCACTAGTGCGGTTTTCGGTTTCGGGTGAACTTGGTCGAGCGAATTGTTTGGTGAACTCGTGTCGCGGTATTCGATATTATTGTCCAAGTGTGTGCTAGCGATTTCTATTCCGAAGTGATCAAAATTCCGGTATCAGTTGGCGTGATTCGCGGCTCTTTTTCAATTCTCAGAAGATTGATTCGATCGAGTGTTTCCATCTTTTATTGCTGGAAGGGTGTCTGAAACTTTCCCTCACTGCTGCCGTTGGTTCCGGATCAAGGTTTGCAGTATCTATTTTTTCTTTAAATTTTGCCCAGATAAGGTGTCATTCATCGTGAATTTGTATCTTAAATGCTTGTCAGGGTCTGTCAACATTCTAGTTTTACAGGACTTCTTTTTCAGGTTTTCAACTCACATTCAACAGTTATCAACTGAAATAAAATTTCACTCTAACGACTTGCCTCTGACTCTTAGACAAGTCATTAAGGTGATTTTTCACAGTTTCTAGTGCGATACATTTCATTGAATGAGTGTAAAGTCTCGGCAGTTTTTGAATTTATACTGAAGAAAGAATGTTAGTCCCTGCGCATTAGCCCGAAGATTCATTCTGAGCCCAAATAAGGGCAAAATTCAGAGAGATGAAAGCAGGATCCATTTCGGGGAAAAACGCAGCATTTGATTTAGATACCTATTTATTTCTGTATCGATTGCGATGTTTATTGCCGAAAGGAATCTTGTCTTCATGTGTGTCGCGTTATCCTGTTTTTGTTCAGATTGATTCCTGAGGCTCATGTGCAGAGGCTATCAATTTTTTTGGCTGGAAATTTTGGAGATTTAGAGATTTTATATTCAATTGATGCGATATATTGCATGCCCGTTCGACTTCGCTATAATCTATGACAAATTACCTGCAAAATATTATCATATGGTTATCTTATTACCTATCTGTACTTGACCTCTTAATTTTCTCAACATGAATTCAGTACCTATGTCTAGATGTAGTTAAGTGTAGAATGGTGTACCTTCAATGACGAAGTATCTTTCCTTCTCCACTAACATTCTGTAGTCCCCAGAATAATCTTGACGAGCCTCACGGTCTCGGAAAGAGTATTTACTTGAACACATTCTTTAATTTATTTCCTTACTTACCAGATCAGGCGCATACACTGAATTTCCTAGGGAGAACTTCTGTATTACTCCTGAATGAATAGAGAAAATCTGAACTATGATCATGCACCCGTCTTGTCTAGGAAGTTACTAATGAACGAGTATTGGTACCTTTATGAAAGCAAAGGCCCCCCTTTTGCAAATGTACAGAATATGCATCTCCTGATTTCCCTAAAGAGTTCCTTTTATCCCTCACCCTTTAGGACTGTGCCATGTTTACTACTTCCACCGTAACAATTAATTTTTTAAAACTCAGCTCCTTCATAAGCAGAAGAGGTAGTGGAACAGTTCCAAGTATATAACCAGACAAGTTTTATTGTAGCTCGATCATTAACTACGGTAGTATTTGCTACGATTCATGTGTTTAATCCTTAATATTTGAATCCTCATCTTCCCCTCTCCTTTCCCATCTCCTCTCTCTCAAGTCTCAACTCACACCCTCTAATATTTCATGCAAGAGTCAGTTTGTATTTTGATTCAAGGGAGTTTCAAGTCAATTTCCCAGGCAATTCAGATTATAATGTGCTTGAGTAGCTTCTTAGTTATCTCAGAATGAACAATTTTCCAGTCCACAGAGGTTTTTTCGTCCCTTTCAAATGGTTCTAAATTGATCATCACTTTTAAATCATGGTCTGATGAAATTTTCCCTTGTGTTTACGGATATTGCTTCAGACATTTAAGTATGAAATTCCACTCGGATTCATGCGAAGATTACCTGTAGAAATAGTTAATTTTTTTAGCTTGTTAATGGCTCCCCTTCCGCTGACAAGGGCCCTACAGACAAAATTGAAGGGAGAAGTATGGATGAAAGAGAGAGAGAGCAAACTTTCATGCCCCCGTTAAGTGATCTCTGAGAGAAATTTGTCACTTACTTGTAGCTTATGGGTGTCAGGGTAGGTCTGTGCCCCCCCCCCCTTCAACCGTACTAGAAATATTATTATCTGTTTCCTCCCAATTAAATACGCAAAACAGACAGTAGCGTCAGAGCTGGTTCATTTTCTTGTTGAGAGTGAAGACATTTTGAGATATTTTTAAGAATTATTGGCAGAGTTGAATCTTATATTTGCATATACAACCAGAGTCTGCGTGAGAGAAGCCCTTAAATGCACCTGAGAGAGGAACATTCCGAGATTTTCCAATACAGATCCCCCGAATTCCCCTTTTACCGAGCAGAAGCAGACTTCTTAAATATATCGGGGGGGGGGGGGCCC